GTACCCAGATCTCGGAATTGAAAGACGGGTCAGCGTCAATCACTGGGTCGAAGGAGTTTCTCGCAGCGGCTTCTGGTTTCTTTAAAAACATTTTCGGGAAGGATCGCCACACTGACCGTGGTGACTGGAGCTTCAACCCCTCTCGTCGTCTGGATGGTTGGGTGGCTGAGACACTGACAAGAGAATGGTCAGAGCAAGAGGTTAAGAACGCTTTTGCAGCTATGGCGCGGAATAAGTCACCAGGCAGCGACGGTTTACCCAAGGAGCTGTTTGAAGCGCACTGGGACCTGCTGGGGGACAGTTTTATGGCTATGGCAAAGGACTTTGAGGGTACCGCTGCGCTGCCGGCTGAGATCAAGGAGGCGGTGACGATTTTGCTGCACAAGAAAGGTGACAAGGAGCAGCTAAACAATTACCGACCGATCACGCTGCTGAACTTCGCGTACAAGGTGCTTGCTCGGGTTGTCGCGGATCGGATGAAGTCAGTTCTGCATATGGTCATCTCACCGGAGCAGTATGGCTTCATCCCGGGGAGGCGCTTGTCGGATGCGGTCGCCTTGGTGGCGGACATAATCGAGGGAGCGAAGAATGACAAGGATGATCGCTACATGCTCCTGGTAGACTTTCAGAAAGCCTTTGACTCAGTCTCAAGGGACTTTCTGTTCCAGGTGCTGGAGTCCATGGGTTTCCCGGAGCAGTTTGTTGGATGGGTTAAAGGCCTGCATGAGGGAACAACAACGAAGCTGTTAATAAATGGCTGGCTCGGCGAAGGTGTGGATGTGGTGTCAGGGGTTAGACAAGGCTGCCCCTTGGCGCCCTACCTTTTCTTGTGCGCGGTGGAACCGCTGGCTCTGGAGGTAGAACGGAAGGAGCTTGGTCTGGAGAAGGAGGGGCACCGGCTAGGTTATCTCGGTTATGCGGACGACACGACGCTGGTCCTGCAAGGAGAAGCGCAAATCGGCCAGGCTGAGGAAATTCTGGATCGCTTCGAAAAAGTCTCGGGATTGGCAACGAACAAAGAAAAGTCAGTGGTCTTACCCTTGGGCGCTAACATCGGCGCAACTGGTGGAGGAAGCTTCAAATGGGCTGGCGCGGATGAAGCAGAGCGATTGTTAGGAATCTGGGTGACGCCATCTGGTAGCGGCAGACCGACTTGGGAGAAGGCGTGGAGCCACATTTCGGAGAAGCTCACCAAATGGCAGCTGAAATACCTGACAATCACAGCGAGAGCAACGGTAGTTAACTTTTATATCACGCCGATCCTTGCCTTTCAGGCGCAGATCTTTCCTCCGCCGGCGGATATCTGGCTGGAAATCACGCGGCTGATACATAGCTTTACCTCCGGTAACAGAGTGGCGACGGCGAAGGGCTTCGCACTCTGGAGCAGAGAACTGATGTACACCCCGAGGCTGGACGGAGGAATTGGCGTCAGAGATCCGGAAATCCTCATCACCTGCTTGGCGGCAAGGAGGGTGGGGCTTTACATAACGGAGAAAAACCCGCTCAAGAGAGATCTCATGGAACGGGCTGCGAAGCTTCCGCTGGGGCTGGACTCGTTCACTGCACATACAAAACTACTGAAGCACTGGGAAGATGGCAGCGCTCGGTGGAAACAGACGGTGGAGAGCTTCATGCGTTCCCCGTTCTCCGTCAGGAACCTGGTGGGGAGCAGGGAGGAGGTGTTTCGGGAGAGAATGGTTTTTAACGCTGACATACTTCTCAACGGCACCACAAATCCACTGGGGGGGCAGAAAGACGCTCAGGGCTTGACAGAGCTCAGAGTTGGGGACATGCTCGAAGGAGAAGAGGACGGTGCAGTGATAGTCAAATCCATGGAGGTGCTAAAGCGAGAACTTGGTGGGACCGGGCCTGCGAAGCTGGCGATGAGGGCGCTGCTAGCTCTCCCGTCTCACTGGCACAGACTGCTTGGCTTCCCAACAGTGCCTCCGCAGCCGGTTGTATCACCTCCAAGGATACCTGGAAGGGGATCGGGTAGTTTCCATGAAGCGGATGAAGGAGGGCTGGAGGGGGACATACAGCCAGTCATACAAGCAGCAGAAATGGGTTTCACGATGGGGGAACCACATCGATTGGAAGCGGGTGGTGACAACCAGAGACTCTCTGGCCATTCCTAGCCGTCCAAGAGACGTCCTGATTCGGATCCACGGTCTTAATCTTCAGGTGGGGGAAAGGTTGGCTTTCCTCAGCAGCAAGCCTACCTGCCCGCACTGTGGGGAGCAGGAAACCCCAGAGCACTGCCTCGTTCTCTGCCCCAAGATACAGGTGGTGACTTCGGCTCTCCGACGTGCCCTGCGCATGCTAAACCCCAACCGACCAACAGCCTCGTTGGGCGATCTACTGTTTCGGAAAACGGGTACCAAGTCTGCTTTTCCGAAGCTGACCCTCACATCAGTGGTGCTGCACCAAGTCTGGGTGGAAAGATGTGAAGCGGTGTTCCGGGGAGAGAAGTTTCGGCCACAGCGGGTCCTTTGGAGAGCGGAGTCAGCTTTTAGGCTACACGCAAGAATCTACATGCGTAAAATGGGGGCAGCCCGGAAGAAACGATTGCAGGAGAATTTCGCGGAGGAGAAGAATATGCTGAGTAGGATTTTGATGGATGGCAAGGGTTGGACGTGGACAAGTGCTTTTGCCGCACTGTGGTCCAAGAGGAGGGCATGCAGCAACTCGCCCTAGACAGCTCATTTGGAACAGTAATTTGTTTTACTGTTGCCTCACGCACGGTTACGACCGTTTGATGGTGTATGCTTGTGTTCCGGTATATACTAATCAATATTAAAAAAAAATGTTTTTTCAACCCCGCAAAAAAACGACCCTGCGCGGGGTCGGTGCTGGGGATTGAACGTAGGTGCTGGGTTCCTGCTCGAAGAAAGAGTTCCGCGCACAAGTTCTTCATCGTGGGTGGTGTGAGCAGCGGACGGGTATTTCTGCGCGTGAGAACCAAGGGAGTGAGGGGGGAGACTCCGCACCGCAGATGTGTAGGAGTTCGAAGTTTCCGCCAATGGTGACAGGCCAAACCTTTTGAAATACAGTGGGGCGCCCTCGGCGAAGGACAGCCAATGGGCGGGGTGGAAGAACTCCAAACGTGTGGTGGTTGTTGGTGGGCAGGGAAGGAAAGAAACACTATCGAGAGAGAGAAAGTCAGCAAGTTGTGAAATGGGGGCACTTATCAAGTCGGAACGACAACTCTAAACGGTATGGTTACAAGGGGTTGATGTGAGGCGAAGCGAGGTTATAAGAGTTTCTCTCTCGGTCCTACGTTGTCCACTCCGTCCGGATTCCAGACCGGAAACTTGTCGGGTTCGGTTTCTGAACTGTACAGTACAATGTGGCGCGCACTAGCGCCACCCTGGGTTCATCAGTCAAGGCAATGAATCCCTCCGCGCCATTTCCTCCCCCAGCCTCGAAAGATCCCCCTCCCTAGATACAGAAACCCGTCCGCTGACATCATCCAGCAGCTCTCTGGGGGACTCCCGTCCCGTCGCCTCGCCGCAACGAGCAGCGCGCGAACGGGCAACAAAAAGCCGCCCTTGCGGCTGCGCCTGCGCCCGCGCTTGTCCTAGTGGCATCTGTGACCCTGCCGCCACTCCCAGGGCCTGGTTTTCTTGGTGCCGGAGACCATTCACAGCTAAAAACATCGACTGGTTAGCAATGAGTGTAGCACCTCCATTCTGGAATTAACGGGCCCCGAGGCAGCCATGTTGCATGATCAAGAAACAAAGCTGAAGAGGATTTGTTGGATACGCCCTAACGTGGGCGCTGTTGAAAAACTTTGAGCCCTTACCCCTGACACCCAACCGAGCTTGCGTTTCGCGGACGACTAGCCCCTGCTTTCCAGACGAGCCCAAACCAGCACGACCTGAATATACCTAGCTTAACCGAGCCTAACCGTTTTCCTCCACGCCGTTGTTCCGATGAACACCGAGGTGGGAGGGTAAGCGTCGCTTTGCCGAAGGGAAGCATATATGCTGCGCTCTGTACGGAATGGCGAACAACCACCATAGCTTTATTCGTCTCCTCCAGTCACCTTTTCTCGTATCAACCGCGAATTCCCTGCTCTAAGTCCTGGGACGGGCGATAGGCTGCTACAATGAGAATATTGTTTGCAGCGTGGTTCCTTAGCTCTTAGTTTGTCGTTAGAGCCTTTCATTTACTGTGTAGTAGCATTGAGCGGATTCGAACCGTCGGGCAATCGGTCCTGCAGTCGTCGTCGCAACAAGAATGGCTTGCATTTCTGGGGTGCGTTTGGATTCTCCAGAGCGCTCACACATTTTAGAAAGTAATAAATAGAGGTGAGGCGAAAGTTATCTTGATAATGGTGTACAGCCCTACTATCGTTCGCTTTTCTACACCGTAATTTAAATTGCTTATATTCGAGTCGGCTGTAGATTATTGCGAGGATGGCGATTCCGTTTTGCAGAGTGGTTCCTGAGCCATGGAGAGCTGTCGATAACGGCGCGAATTCAAGAGTTGATGATCTAACGGTCACGGCGGTCGACGGAAAGCTAGATTCCTTAAAGGACGGCCTGGATTCGTCGAGAGACGCGCTCGGGAGTGGCCGGAGAGAAGGGACAGTTGTCGCCGAAGCAACGTGTGGGGTTACCACGGCGGATGTTACAGCGGGAGATTGTGTAACGAGGACGGAAGGCGATTTAGGTTCGGGCAGAAAGAACGTCGACGAAGGAGAGGCGGGGCAGGATAACGATTTGCGGTGTGTTCCGTCTGGTAGCTCGGACGGGATCGAGTGTAACAGCTCCGGTAGTGATGGTATCTCCAGCGATAGTAACCGCGGTAGCGATAGCGGCGACATTCGCGAACATCCCGGTAACTGCAGCACAAGTAGTCGCGCGGACGCCAGCGGCAATGGTGCCGCTGACGGCGCGAGCGAAACCGTTGGCGCTAATAACGGTGTCGAAAGCGATGCTAGGACCGATTATGCTCCTGACGAACCTAATGCGAGCGAGTGTACTCCCGGGGGGTCAATGACTAATAGCGAATCTGCTGCTAGCGAGTCCGCTCCTAGCGAGTCCGCTGCGAGCGAGGCGGCCGTTCGGCTGGTGTCGGCAGCAGCGCTGGTGGCGGCGGGAGTGCAAGACGCGGAGGAGGACTCGTGTAGCATTTGCCTCGACGCATTCACCGAATCCGACCCCGCCACCGTGAGTGAACACGCCCTGAGTTCAAGGTGAACCTGGGTGAGGTAAGTTGTTCACTTCGTCCTCTCTGCCAGATGACTTGAGCTGGGGAAATGACTTTTGAGTCGACTCAAAAGTCAACTTTGTCACGCGCTCTGCCGGATCACTTGAGCTGGGGATATGAGATTGGGCTCCCCAAAGACGCGGAGGAGGAGGACACGTGCAGTATCTGCCTGCCTCGACGCATTCACCGAATCCGACCCCTCTCCGTCAGTGAACACGCCCTGAGTTAGAGGTGAGGTGATTTTCTTACGTTCTTACCCACTCCGACTCGGTACTTTTAACTTTTCACGCGGAAAAGAGATGGATCGTCGCCAAGATGCGGGGGAGGACAATCTGTGCAGCATCCGCCTCGACGCCTTCCCCGCATCCGACCCTGCCACCGTGAGTGAACACGCCCTAAGCTGAGCTTCTCATGCGGAGTTGCCATGAGTGAATCTAATTCAAGAGGTGAGTTCCTCATTCGGAAATTGCTCTTTAAGAATTCCCTTCCTCGAGTTACCCTGCGTCGATTGAGTCATCCGTCCGTCTATCTCCTTAGTTGGTGAATTTCGCTTGGATTCGGATCGGACATTGTACGAGTTGAACGGAAGGAGGGCATGGCAAAGAGTGAGCACGAGCACGAATGCGCCAAATCAGACAGGGAGCGTGGGGCAGGGTGCACGTGTCTCTTTGTGGAGACTTTTGAGTCGACTCAAAAGTCGGGTCGACTCAAAAGTCACCTCGTGGGAAAGGGTGCACGTGTCTCTGTGTGGAAGGAAAGCCACTGCCACGTGTGCTGCCACTGCCACGTGTGCTGCCACTGCCACGTGTGCTGCCACTGCCAGCTCACGGTGTGCAACCACAGGTACCACTTCCAGTGCGTCCTCCAATCGCCTCTTGCAAATTGCCCCTCACCTCCCTCCCTTCCTCTCTGTGTGTGTTGCCCCTCTCTTTCTTCATGTGTGTGCTGCTACCAACAGCTCACGGTGTGCAACCACGAGTACCACTTCCAATGCGTCCTCTCGGCTGTTGCATATCACCATACGACCTCTCTCCCTTTTACCCTTTCTCCCTGTGTGTCTGTGCCTGCTCCCACGTGTGCTGCTACCACCAGCTCACAGTGTGCAACCACGAGTACCACTTCCAGTGCGTCCTCTGCTCGTCTCTTGCGCATTGCCCCTCACCCCCCTCCCTTTCTCTTGCGTGTGCTCCCATCTGTGCTGCCAGCTCACGGTCTGCAACCACGAGTACCACTTCCAGTGCGTCCTTGAATGGTAAATGCCACACTGACGTGGCCGGTCTTTCTCTCACGTAGCATATCTTAGCAGTTAACCATGCATCCACATGTTCTTCCTCCTTTCCTCTCGCTTCTCCCTTACCCCCCCAACCTTCCTCCCTTTCCTTTTCCTCTTACGCCTGCTCCTCTCGCCCCTGCTCTCCTCTGCACATTCCTCCTCTCTACTGCTGTTCACCGTCTGCCCTCTCTCGTTCCCTCTTCTCCTCGTGCTTTCCAATCCCCCCTGCTCCCCATCCCCCCACGCTCCCCATTCCCCTTTGTTCCCCATTCCCCCGTACTCCCCATTCCCTCATGCTCCCCATTGCTCATGCTCCCCCACCATTGCCCCGCGCTCCCTTTTCCCCGTGTTCCCCCTTTCCTCAGGGCCCAGCGTCGGGAGGAGTGTCCCATGTGCTGGCGCAAGCTGGCACTGCAAGATGAAACCTGGTACGTGCAAGATGAAACCTGGTACGTGCAAGATGAAACCTGGTACGTGCAAGATGAAACGTGGTACTGCAAGATGAAACGTGGTACTGCAAGATGAAACGTGGTACTGCAAGATGAAACGTGGTACGTGCAAGATGAAACGCTGGTACTGCAAGATGAATCGTGATACTGCAAGATGAAACGTGGTACGTGCAAGATGAAACGCTGGTACTGCAAGATAAAAACGTGGTACTGCAAGATGAAACGTGGTACTGCAAGATGAAACGTGGTGCATTCACAATGGTAAATACATGGTCAAACCCCCACTGATTGCTTTCCCTCCATCAGATTCTCCTCTATTGTCTCTCCTGATTCTCATCCATACAGTCAGGAACTGCTGCTGGCGTGCTACAGGGAGAAGGAAATCCAAGCAGCAGAGCAGCGGGCGGCAGCGGCAGCAGCAGCCGCTGCAATTGCAGCATCAGTGGTATCGGTGCGGGGAGCGGCAGGCCGCGGGGTGGCAGCGAGGGGAGTGGCAGCAAGGGGGGTGGCTGTGAGGGGGCAGGCAAGGCGAGGGGCTCAGCCCATGGGTACATTGGCCTCTTCATCCTCCTCGTCCTCCTCTATTCCTGCACCCTCCCGCCATCGCCAGCAGCAGCAGTGGGAGCAGCGGCAGGGCAGCACTCAGGTATGATTGTTGTGGGTAGGTGTGAAACTCATTGGGGGGGCTTGAGGCACGGGGAGTGGCAGCAAGGGGAGTGGCAGCAAGGGGAGTGGCAGCAAGGGGAGTGGCAGCAAGGGGAGTGGCAGCAAGGGGAGTGGCAGCAAGGGGAGTGGCAGCAAGGGGAGTGGCAGCAAGGGGAGTGGCAGCAAGGGGAGTGGCAGCAAGGGGAGTGGCAGCAAGGAGTGGCAGCAAGGGGAGTGGCAGCAAGGGGAGTGGCAGCAAGGGGAGTGGCAGCAAGGGGAGTGGCAGCAAGGGGAGTGGCAGCAAGGGGAGTGGCAGCAAGGGGAGTGGCTGTGAGGGGGCAGGCGAGGCAGGGGGCTCAGCCCATGGGCACGAGAGTCTCCCCACTCTCATCCGTCCAAGAAAACGAACGAAGTGAACCAAAGTTAAAGAATACAACAATTCAAGTAAACGAGGTGCATGTACCCATGCACTATTCGCCAGCAAGTGCCAACCTTTGTTTTTGAGGTGCCCATAAAAAAACAGATATCAATATGAACGAGTTGCATGCATTATTGACCAGCAAGTGCCAACCTTTGTTGAATTCGCTTTGAGAATTCTCCTTTGAGTTGGATGAAGCCTGGTAACTGATTTTGTCAATAATATTTTGCTGATTATGATGACCCTGATGACAAGATTGTATTGGTACTTGGATTAAATGTATTTTTTAAAGTTAAAGTACCATGTAGAAGTAATAAGCACGTGTTCAACTGACTTGTTACTGCTACATGGTAATTCAACTTTAAGAAAAACACTTTGTCCAAGTACCATTGCAATCATGTCATCAGGGTAATCATCACCAGCAAAATAAACTGACAAAAAGTGAAATATTCGACATCATCCAACTCAAAAGTGAACTTAATTTTGGAGAATGCTAAAAAATGATTTAGACGAGTTGCATGGACTATTGACCAGCAAGTGCCTGCCTCTGTTCCTCCACACCCCTCTTCCTCTCCCACCCACCCCGCCTCCCTCCTCTCATTCCTCCTCTTCTCCCAACCATCCATGCTCACTCTTCGTCCCTTTCTACCCCTCCACTATCAACCCCTCCCCATCCCCACTTTCCTCCACCCTGTCACCCGTCCTCCCTCCCTCTTCCCTTTCTACTCCGCAGGCACTTCAGGCTCGAATGTAGACCTCTCGTTGTCCTCCTCCTTCTCCTTCCGTCCTCCTACACTCATGCTGACGCTCCCTTCTCACTCTTCTTCTCTCCCTGGCCCCCCTCCCCCTCTCGCCTTCCCCCTGCAGTCCACAGTCACATTGGGCTCGCCTGTCGATCCCTGGATGCCCTCCTCCCTCCTCTCCTCCCTCTCCTCCCTCTCCTCCCTCCTCTCCTCCCTCTCCTCCCTCTCCTACCTCGTCTCCTCCCTCCTCTCCTCCCTCTCCTCCCTCTCCTCCCTCTCCTACCTCGTCTCCTCCCTCCTCTCCTCGCTCTCCTCCCTCTCCTCCCTCTCCTACCTCGTCTCCTCCCTCCTCTCCTCCCTCTCCTCCCTCTCCTCCCTCTCCTACCTCGTCTCCTCCCTCCTCCCCTCCCTCTCCTCCCTCTCCTCCCTCTCCTCCCTCTCCTACCTCGTCTCCTCCCTCCTCTCCTCCCTCTCCTCCCTCTCCTCCCTCTCCTACCTCGTCTCCTCCCTCCTCTCCTCCCTCTCCTCCCTCTCCTCCCTCTCCTACCTCGTCTCCTCCCTCCTCTCCTCCCTCTCCTCCCTCTCCTCCCTCTCCTCCCTCTCCTCCCTCTCCTACCTCGTCTCCTCCCTCCTCTCCTCCCTCTCCTCCCTCTCCTCCCTCTCCTACCTCGTCTCCTCCCTCCTCTCCTCCCTCTCCTCCCTCTCCTCCCTCTCCTACCTCGTCTCCTCCCTCCTCTCCTCCCTCTCCTCCCTCTCCTCCCTCTCCTACCTCGTCTCCTCCCTCCTCTCCTCCCTCCTCTCCTCCCTCTCCTCCCTCTCCTCCCTCTCCTACCTCGTCTCCTCCCTCCTCTCCTCCCTCTCCTCCCTCGTCTCCTCCCTCTCCTCCCTCGTCTCCTCCCTCGTCTCCTCCCTCCTCTCCTCCCTCTCCTCCCTCTCCTCCCTCTCCTACCTCGTCTCCTCCCTCCTCTCCTCCCTCTCCTCCCTCTCCTCCCTCTCCTCCCTCTCCTACCTCGTCTCCTCCCTCCTCTCCTCCCTCTCCTCCCTCTCCTCCCTCTCCTCCCTCTCCTACCTCGTCTCCTCCCTCCTCTCCTCCCTCTCCTCCCTCTCCTCCCTCTCCTACCTCGTCTCCTCCCTCCTCTCCTCCCTCTCCTCCCTCTCCTCCCTCTCCTACCTCGTCTCCTCCCTCCTCTCCTCCCTCTCCTCCCTCTCCTCCCTCTCCTCCCTCTCCTCCCTCTCCTACCTCGTCTCCTCCCTCCTCTCCTCCCTCTCCTCCCTCTCCTCCCTCTCCTACCTCGTCTCCTCCCTCCTCTCCTCCCTCTCCTCCCTCTCCTCCCTCTCCTACCTCGTCTCCTCCCTCCTCTCCTCCCTCTCCTCCCTCTCCTCCCTCTCCTACCTCGTCTCCTCCCTCCTCTCCTCCCTCCTCTCCTCCCTCTCCTCCCTCTCCTCCCTCTCCTACCTCGTCTCCTCCCTCCTCTCCTCCCTCTCCTCCCTCTCCTCCCTCTCCTCCCTCTCCTCCCTCTCCTACCTCGTCTCCTCCCTCCTCTCCTCCCTCTCCTCCCTCTCCTCCCTCTCCTACCTCGTCTCCTCCCTCCTCTCCTCCCTCTCCTCCCTCTCCTCCCTCTCCTACCTCGTCTCCTCCCTCCTCTCCTCCCTCTCCTCCCTCTCCTCCCTCTCCTACCTCGTCTCCTCCCTCCTCTCCTCCCTCCTCTCCTCCCTCTCCTCCCTCTCCTCCCTCTCCTACCTCGTCTCCTCCCTCCTCTCCTCCCTCTCCTCCCTCGTCTCCTCCCTCCTCTCCTCCCTCTCCTCCCTCGTCTCCTCCCTCGTCTCCTCCCTCCTCTCCTCCCTCTCCTCCCTCTCCTCCCTCTCCTACCTCGTCTCCTCCCTCCTCTCCTCCCTCTCCTCCCTCTCCTCCCTCTCCTCCCTCTCCTACCTCGTCTCCTCCCTCCTCTCCTCCCTCTCCTCCCTCTCCTCCCTCTCCTCCCTCTCCTACCTCGTCTCCTCCCTCCTCTCCTCCCTCTCCTCCCTCTCCTCCCTCTCCTACCTCGTCTCCTCCCTCCTCTCCTCCCTCTCCTCCCTCTCCTCCCTCTCCTACCTCGTCTCCTCCCTCCTCTCCTCCCTCTCCTCCCTCTCCTCCCTCTCCTCCCTCTCCTCCCTCTCCTACCTCGTCTCCTCCCTCCTCTCCTCCCTCTCCTCCCTCTCCTCCCTCTCCTACCTCGTCTCCTCCCTCCTCTCCTCCCTCTCCTCCCTCTCCTCCCTCTCCTACCTCGTCTCCTCCCTCCTCTCCTCCCTCTCCTCCCTCTCCTCCCTCTCCTACCTCGTCTCCTCCCTCCTCTCCTCCCTCCTCTCCTCCCTCTCCTCCCTCTCCTCCCTCTCCTACCTCGTCTCCTCCCTCCTCTCCTCCCTCTCCTCCCTCGTCTCCTCCCTCCTCTCCTCCCTCTCCTCCCTCGTCTCCTCCCTCGTCTCCTCCCTCCTCTCCTCCCTCTCCTCCCTCTCCTCCCTCTCCTACCTCGTCTCCTCCCTCCTCTCCTCCCTCTCCTCCCTCTCCTCCCTCTCCTCCCTCTCCTACCTCGTCTCCTCCCTACTCTCCTCCCTCTCCTCCCTCTCCTCCCTCTCCTACCTCGTCTCCTCCCTCCTCTCCTCCCTCTCCTCCCTCTCCTCCCTCTCCTACCTCGTCTCCTCCCTCCTCTCCTCCCTCTCCTCCCTCTCCTCCCTCTCCTCCCTCTCCTACCTCGTCTCCTCCCTCCTCTCCTCCCTCTCCTCCCTCTCCTCCCTCTCCTACCTCGTCTCCTCCCTCCTCTCCTCCCTCTCCTCCCTCGTCTCCTCCCTCCTCTCCTCCCTCTCCTCCCTCGTCTCCTCCCTCGTCTCCTCCCTCCTCTCCTCCCTCTCCTCCCTCTCCTCCCTCTCCTACCTCGTCTCCTCCCTCCTCTCCTCCCTCTCCTACCTCGTCTCCTCCCTCCTCTCCTCCCTCTCCTCCCTCTCCTCCCTCTCCTCCCTCTCCTACCTCGTCTCCTCCCTCCTCTCCTCCCTCTCCTCCCTCTCCTCCCTCTCCTACCTCGTCTCCTCCCTCCTCTCCTCCCTCTCCTCCCTCGTCTCCTCCCTCCTCTCCTCCCTCTCCTCCCTCGTCTCCTCCCTCGTCTCCTCCCTCCTCTCCTCCCTCTCCTCCCTCTCCTCCCTCTCCTACCTCGTCTCCTCCCCCCTCTCCTCCCTCTCCTCCCTCTCCTCCCTCTCCTCCCTCTCCTACCTCGTCTCCTCCCTCCTCTCCTCCCTCTCCTCCCTCTCCTCCCTCTCCTACCTCGTCTCCTCCCTCCTCTCCTCCCTCTCCTCCCTCTCCTCCCTCTCCTCCCTCTCCTACCTCGTCTCCTCCCTCCTCTCCTCCCTCTCCTCCCTCGTCTCCTCCCTCCTCTCCTCCCTCTCCTCCCTCGTCTCCTCCCTCGTCTCCTCCCTCCTCTCCTCCCTCTCCTCCCTCTCCTCCTCTCCTCCCTCTCCTCCCTCGTCTCCTCCCTCCTCTCCTCCCTCTCCTCCCTCTCCTCCCTCTCCTCCCTCTCCTACCTCGTCTCCTCCCTCCTCTCCTCCCTCCTCTCCTCCCTCTCCTCCCTCTCCTACCTCGTCTCCTCCCTCCTCTCCTCCCTCTCCTCCCTCTCCTCCCTCTCCTCCCTCTCCTACCTCGTCTCCTCCCTCCTCTCCTCCCTCTCCTCCCTCTCCTCCCTCTCCTACCTCGTCTCCTCCCTCCTCTCCTCCCTCTCCTCCCTCTCCTCCCTCTCCTCCCTCTCCTACCTCGTCTCCTCCCTCCTCTCCTCCCTCTCCTCCCTCTCCTCCCTCTCCTACCTCGTCTCCTCCCTCCTCTCCTCCCTCTCCTCCCTCGTCTCCTCCCTCCTCTCCTCCCTCTCCTCCCTCGTCTCCTCCCTCGTCTCCTCCCTCCTCTCCTCCCTCTCCTCCCTCTCCTACCTCGTCTCCTCCCTCCTCTCCTCCCTCTCCTCCCTCTCCTCCCTCTCCTCCCTCTCCTACCTCGTCTCCTCCCTCCTCTCCTCCCTCTCCTCCCTCTCCTCCCTCTCCTACCTCGTCTCCTCCCTCCTCTCCTCCCTCTCCTCCCTCTCCTCCCTCTCCTCCCTCGTCTCCTCCCTCCTCTCCTCCCTCTCCTCCCTCTCCTCCCTCTCCTCCCTCTCCTACCTCGTCTCCTCTTTCCTCTCCTCCCTCTCCTCCCTCTCCTCCCTCTCCTACCTCGTCTCCTCCCTCCTCTCCTCCCTCTCCTCCCTCGTCTCCTCCCTCCTCTCCTCCCTCTCCTCCCTCGTCTCCTCCCTCGTCTCCTCCCTCCTCTCCTCCCTCTCCTCCCTCTCCTCCCTCTCCTACCTCGTCTCCTCCCTCCTCTCCTCCCTCTCCTCCCTCTCCTCCCTCTCCTCCCTCTCCTACCTCGTCTCCTCCCTCCTCTCCTCCCTCTCCTCCCTCTCCTCCCTCTCCTACCTCGTCTCCTCCCTCCTCTCCTCCCTCTCCTCCCTCGTCTCCTCCCTCCTCTCCTCCCTCTCCTCCCTCGTCTCCTCCCTCGTCTCCTCCCTCCTCTCCTCCCTCTCCTCCCTCTCCTCCCTCTTCTCCCTCGTCTCCTCCCTCCTCTCCTCCCTCTCCTCCCTCTCCTCCCTCTCCTCCCTCTCCTACCTCGTCTCCTCCCTCCTCTCCTCCCTCTCCTCCTCTCCTCCCTCTCCTACCTCGTCTCCTCCCTCCTCTCCTCCCTCTCCTCCCTCTCCTCCCTCTCCTCCCTCTCCTACCTCGTCTCCTCCCTCCTCTCCTCCCTCTCCTCCCTCTCCTCCCTCTCCTACCTCGTCTCCTCCCTCCTCTCCTCCCTCTCCTCCCTCTCCTCCCTCTCCTCCCTCGTCTCCTCCCTCCTCTCCTCCCTCTCCTCCCTCTCCTCCCTCTCCTCCCTCTCCTACCTCGTCTCCTCCCTCCTCTCCTCCCTCTCCTCCCTCTCCTCCCTCTCCTACCTCGTCTCCTCCCTCCTCTCCTCCCTCTCCTCCCTCGTCTCCTCCCTCCTCTCCTCCCTCTCCTCCCTCGTCTCCTCCCTCGTCTCCTCCCTCCTCTCCTCCCTCTCCTCCCTCTCCTCCCTCTCCTACCTCGTCTCCTCCCTCCTCTCCTCCCTCTCCTCCCTCTCCTCCCTCTCCTCCCTCTCCTACCTCGTCTCCTCCCTCCTCTCCTCCCTCTCCTCCCTCTCCTCCCTCTCCTACCTCGTCTCCTCCCTCCTCTCCTCCCTCTCCTCCCTCGTCTCCTCCCTCCTCTCCTCCCTCTCCTCCCTCGTCTCCTCCCTCGTCTCCTCCCTCCTCTCCTCCCTCTCCTCCCTCTCCTCCCTCTTCTCCCTCGTCTCCTCCCTCCTCTCCTCCCTCTCCTCCCTCTCCTCCCTCTCCTCCCTCTCCTACCTCGTCTCCTCCCTCCTCTCCTCCCTCTCCTCCCTCTCCTCCCTCTCCTACCTCGTCTCCTCCCTCCTCTCCTCCCTCTCCTCCCTCGTCTCCTCCCTCCTCTCCTCCCTCTCCTCCCTCGTCTCACCCTCGTCTCCTCCCTCCTCTCCTCCCTCTCCTCCCTCTCCTCCCTCTCCTACCTCGTCTCCTCCCTCCTCTCCTCCCTCTCCTCCCTCTCCTCCCTCTCCTCCCTCTCCTCCCTCTCCTACCTCGTCTCCTCCCTCCTCTCCTCCCTCTCCTCCCTCTCCTCCCTCTCCTACCTCGTCTCCTCCCTCCTCTCCTCCCTCTCCTCCCTCGTCTCCTCCCTCCTCTCCTCCCTCTCCTCCCTCGTCTCCTCCCTCGTCTCCTCCCTCCTCTCCTCCCTCTCCTCCCTCTCCTCCCTCTCCTCCCTCGTCTCCTCCCTCCTCTCCTCCCTCTCCTCCCTCTCCTCCCTCTCCTCCCTCTCCTACCTCGTCTCCTCCCTCCTCTCCTCCCTCTCCTCCCTCTCCTCCCTCTCCTACCTCGTCTCCTCCCTCCTCTCCTCCCTCTCCTCCCTCGTCTCCTCCCTCCTCTCCTCCCTCTCCTCCCTCGTCTCCTCCCTCGTCTCCTCCCTCCTCTCCTCCCTCTCCTCCCTCTCCTCCCTCTCCTACCTCGTCTCCTCCCTCCTCTCCTCCCTCTCCTCCCTCTCCTCCCTCTCCTCCCTCTCCTACCTCGTCTCCTCCCTCCTCTCCTCCCTCTCCTCCCTCTCCTCCCTCTCCTACCTCGTCTCCTCCCTCCTCTCCTCCCTCTCCTCCCTCGTCTCCTCCCTCCTCTCCTCCCTCTCCTCCCTCGTCTCCTCCCTCCTCTCCTCCCTCTCCTCCCTCGTCTCCTCCCTCGTCTCCTCCCTCCTCTCCTCCCTCTCCTCCCTCTCCTCCCTCTCCTACCTCGTCTCCTCCCTCCTCTCCTCCCTCTCCTCCCTCTCCTCCCTCTCCTCCCTCTCCTACCTCGTCTCCTCCCTCCTCTCCTCCCTCTCCTCCCTCTCCTCCCTCTCCTACCTCGTCTCCTCCCTTCTCTCCTCCCTCTCCTCCCTCTCCTCCCTCTCCTACCTCGTCTCCTCCCTCCTCTCCTCCCTCTCCTCCCTCTCCTCCCTCTCCTCCCTCTCCTACCTCGTCTCCTCCCTCCTCTCCTCCCTCTCCTCCCTCTCCTCCCTCTCCTACCTCGTCTCCTCCCTCCTCTCCTCCCTCTCCTCCCTCTCCTCCCTCTCCTCCCTCTCCTCCCTCTCCTCCCTCTCCTACCTCGTCTCCTCCCTCCTCTCCTCCCTCTCCTCCCTCTCCTCCCTCTCCTACCTCGTCTCCTCCCTCCTCTCCTCCCTCTCCTCCCTCGTCTCCTCCCTCCTCTCCTCCCTCTCCTCCCTCGTCTCCTCCCTCGTCTCCTCCCTCCTCTCCTCCCTCTCCTCCCTCTCCTCCCTCTCCTCCCTCGTCTCCTCCCTCCTCTCCTCCCTCTCCTCCCTCTCCTCCCTCTCCTCCCTCTCCTACCTCGTCTCCTCCCTCCTCTCCTCCCTCTCCTCCCTCTCCTCCCTCTCCTACCTCGTCTCCTCCCTCCTCTCCTCCCTCTCCTCCCTCGTCTCCTCCCTCCTCTCCTCCCTCTCCTCCCTCGTCTCACCCTCGTCTCCTCCCTCCTCTCCTCCCTCTCCTCCCTCTCCTCCCTCTCCTACCTCGTCTCCTCCCTCCTCTCCTCCCTCTCCTCCCTCTCCTCCCTCTCCTCCCTCTCCTACCTCGTCTCCTCCCTCCTCTCCTCCCTCTCCTCCCTCTCCTCCCTCTCCTACCTCGTCTCCTCCCTCCTCTCCTCCCTCTCCTCCCTCGTCTCCTCCCTCCTCTCCTCCCTCTCCTCCCTCGTCTCCTCCCTCGTCTCCTCCCTCCTCTCCTCCCTCTCCTCCCTCTCCTCCCTCTCCTCCCTCGTCTCCTCCCTCCTCTCCTCCCTCTCCTCCCTCTCCTCCCTCTCCTCCCTCTCCTACCTCGTCTCCTCCCTCCTCTCCTCCCTCTCCTCCCTCTCCTCCCTCTCCTACCTCGTCTCCTCCCTCCTCTCCTCCCTCTCCTCCCTCGTCTCCTCCCTCCTCTCCTCCCTCTCCTCCCTCGTCTCCTCCCTCGTCTCCTCCCTCCTCTCCTCCCTCTCCTCCCTCTCCTCCCTCTCCTACCTCGTCTCCTCCCTCCTCTCCTCCCTCTCCTCCCTCGTCTCCTCCCTCCTCTCCTCCCTCTCCTCCCTCGTCTCCTCCCTCCTCTCCTCCCTCTCCTCCCTCGTCTCCTCCCTCGTCTCCTCCCTCCTCTCCTCCCTCTCCTCCCTCTCCTCCCTCTCCTACCTCGTCTCCTCCCTCCTCTCCTCCCTCTCCTCCCTCTCCTCCCTCTCCTCCCTCTCCTACCTCGTCTCCTCCCTCCTCTCCTCCCTCTCCTCCCTCTCCTCCCTCTCCTACCTCGTCTCCTCCCTCCTCTCCTCCCTCTCCTCCCTCTCCTCCCTCTCCTACCTCGTCTCCTCCCTCCTCTCCTCCCTCTCCTCCCTCTCCTCCCTCTCCTCCCTCTCCTACCTCGTCTCCTCCCTCCTCTCCTCCCTCTCCTCCCTCTCCTCCCTCTCCTACCTCGTCTCCTCCCTCCTCTCCTCCCTCTCCTCCCTTGTCTCCTCCCTCCTCTCCTCCCTCTCCTCCCTCGTCTCCTCCCTCGTCTCCTCCCTCCTCTCCTCCCTCTCCTCCCTCTCCTCCCTCTCCTACCTCGTCTCCTCCCTCCTCTCCTCCATCTCCTCCCTCTCCTCCCTCTCCTCCCTCTCCTACCTCGTCTCCTCCCTCCTCTCCTCCCTCTCCTCCCTCTCCTCCCTCTCCTACCTCGTCTCCTCCCTCCTCTCCTCCCTCTCCTCCCTCGTCTCCTCCCTCCTCTCCTCCCTCTCCTCCCTCGTCTCCTCCCTTGTCTCCTCCCTCCTCTCCTCCCTCTCCTCCCTCTCCTCCCTCTCCTCCCTCGTCTCCTCCCTCCTCTCCTCCCTCTCCTCCCTCTCCTCCCTCTCCTCCCTCTCCTACCTCGTCTCCTCCCTCCTCTCCTCCCTCTCCTCCCTCTCCTCCCTCTCCTACCTCGTCTCCTCCCTCCTCTCCTCCCTCTCCTCCCTCGTCTCCTCCCTCCTCTCCTCCCTCTCCTCCCTCGTCTCCTCCCTCGTCTCCTCCCTCCTCTCCTCCCTCTCCTCCCTCTCCTCCCTCTCCTACCTCGTCTCCTCCCTCCTCTCCTCCCTCTCCTCCCTCTCCTCCCTCTCCTCCCTCTCCTACCTCGTCTCCTCCCTCCTCTCCTCCCTCTCCTCCCTCTCCTCCCTCTCCTACCTCGTCTCCTCCCTCCTCTCCTCCCTCTCCTCCCTCGTCTCCTCCCTCCTCTCCTCCCTCTCCTCCCTCGTCTCCTCCCTCGTCTCCTCCCTCCTCTCCTCCCTCTCCTCCCTCTCCTCCCTCTCCTACCTCGTCTCCTCCCTCCTCTCCTCCCTCTCCTCCCTCTCCTCCCTCTCCTCCCTCTCCTACCTCGTCTCCTCCCTCCTCTCCTCCCTCTCCTCCCTCTCCTCCCTCTCCTACCTCGTCTCCTCCCTCCTCTCCTCCCTCTCCTCCCTCGTCTCCTCCCTCCTCTCCTCCCTCTCCTCCCTCGTCTCCTCCCTCGTCTCCTCCCTCCTCTCCTCCCTCTCCTCCCTCTCCTCCCTCTCCTACCTCGTCTCCTCCCTCCTCTCCTCCCTCTCCTCCCTCTCCTCCCTCTCCTCCCTCTCCTACCTCGTCTCCTCCCTCCTCTCCTCCCTCTCCTCCCTCTCCTCCCTCTCCTACCTCGTCTCCTCCCTCCTCTCCTCCCTCTCCTCCCTCTCCTCCCTCTCCTCCCTCTCCTACCTCGTCTCCTCCCTCCTCTCCTCCCTCTCCTCCCTCTCCTCCCTCTCCTACCTCGTCTCCTCCCTCCTCTCCTCCCTCTCCTCCCTCGTCTCCTCCCTCCTCTCCTCCCTCTCCTCCCTCTCCTCCCTCTCCTACCTCGTCTCCTCCCTCCTCTCCTCCCTCTCCTCCCTCGTCTCCTACCTCCTCTCCTCCCTCCTCTCCTCTGCCAGGTTCCTCTTGCACCCCTCATACTCTCCGCCCCTCATACTCTCCACTTCTCCCCCCTTACCTCCCTTTCCTCCCCTTCCCTCCCATCCTCCCTTCTCTCCTCCCTCCGCCTTCCACCCATATTCACTCTCCCTGTCCCCGCGCCTTCTCCCCTTTCCTCCCGCTTTTCCCCCCTTCCTACCCCCTTCCGCCCCCAACCCTTTAACCCCTTCCAGGCCACAGTCACATCGGGCTCGCCTGTGGATCGCTGGCTGCCCTCCTCCCTCCTCTCCTCCCTCCGCCATGCCACCTCCTCCTCTTCCTCTTCCTCTCGTGGTCTCTCCGGCTCCTCCCCCCGCTCCTTCGCTCTCTCCTTCAGCCCTCACAGACACCGCTCCTCGCGCTCCGCCTCCCCTTCCTCCTCCTCAACTACCCCCGCCACCACCACTACCAACATCACCACCTCTTCTTCCTCCTCCTCCTCCTCCTCTGCCTCTCTTTCAGCAGCACTTGCCGCTTCTTCCTCTTCCCCTTCCGCCTCTGTATCTGCCCCATCAGCCTCATCACCCTCCGCTGCTGCTTCGCTTGCTGCTGCTGCTTCCACACCTTCTGACACCACCGCTGCTGCTGCTCCTGCTGCCGCTGCTGCTACCTCATCTGTTACTGCTACTTCCGGTCCCTTCACCTCTCCTCCCATCGCATGTTATCGCGCGGACCCTTCAGTTCTCGCAGCAGAGGCAGCGTGCTCTCCGCCCACCTTCTCCCTCTCGCCCTTGCGCCCACGCCCGCCCTCCGCCCTCTCCTTCTACCCACCTGAGACCTCTACCTCAGGAGAAAACAACAGAGGCTTCAGCCTGTCAGCAGGTGCTCTCCCTTTGGATACCCCTCTAGGCGCTACTGTGAGCTGGAATGGAGTGCTCCCTATCAATTCTTCTGGTTCTGACACAGGAGAAACCCCTCCTCAAAACAGAAGCGGGGTTCTTTATACAGAGTCTATCCTGGCATCTACTCCTCCTCACACCCTTCCTCCTCCTCCTCCCACTCTTCCTCCTTCTCACCCTTCCACTGCAACAGCAGCAGCAGCAGCTGTAGGTCATACGGCCTCCTCCCTATCAGAAAGCCCGTCTGTTGTTGCTGCCTTGACTCCTATGAGTGCGTCTCTCTCTTGCTTGCTGGCGAGGCAGCAGCAGGAGCAGCAGCGACTGCTGCTGGAGCAGCATCAGCAGCAGCTGCAGCAGCAGGCTCAGCAGGAGCAGCAGCACGGGGAAGCTTCAGATGCTACAGATGCTGTTGGTGCAACAGGTGCAGCTGATGCGACAGGTGTTGCGGCTGCTACAGATGCTGATGGTGCTACAAACGCTGCTGATGCCACAAGTACAGCTGCCGCTAGTGGTGGCAATGCTGCTGCCGTTTTCCCTGCTGCATCAGATGACAGGCTCGGCTCTAATCCCCAAGCCTTGTCTAGCCTCGGATCAACTTCCCGAGCCTCCTCCTCTAGGTTCGGCAATGAAGGGCAGGAAGGGCTGAAGCTGGTGCTGGCAGGTTTTGAGGAGCAGGGATTGGCTGGGGTGAGGTTTCAGGGGGTGGGGAGTGGTGGTGCGATTGTGACAGGAGTGGGTGGTCAGAGCGTGAGGGCAGCTGGGCTGGCACCTCCTTTTGTTGGGGAGGCTGCTGCTACAGTCGATGCTGTCACAGCAGATGATGCTACACCTATTGCTGCTACAGCCGATGTTGCTACACTCATTGCTGGAACTGCACCTCCTTTCATCGGGGAAGCAGCTGTTACAACTTCTGCTGCTGCTACATCTGATGCTGCTACATCTGGTGCTGCTACAGCTGTTGTTGCTACAGCTGATACCGCATGTGGAGGCAGTGCCATCGCTGTTGCTGCCACTGCTGCTGGGTTGGCTCCTCCTTTTATCGGGGAAGTAGCTGCTACAACCCCTGCTGCTACAGCCGCTGCTGCTACAGCCACTGATGTACGTGGTGGTGGTGGCACCACTATTGGGAGCATTGTTATGGCTCCACCTCCTTTTATCGGGGATGCAGCTGCTACAGCCGCTGCTACAACCCCTGCTGCAACCCCTGCTACCGCCCCTGCTGCTACAGCCGCTGCTGCTATAGCCCCTGCTGCTACAGCCGCTGCTGCAACAGCTGGTGGCAGCAGCAGGACCACCACTGCTGGTGGGACTCCACCTCCATTCATAGGGGAGCAACAGGAAACCTCCTCTGCTACAGCTGTAGCTGACACAGCTGTGCCTGGCGCAACACTTTCTGCTGCTTCCAGGTGCGTGGCTTCTTCTCCCCTCCCTCTCCTCCCTCCCTATTCTCAGCTCTGCTGACGCACGGACTCCCTTTCGTTTGACCCTCTCTGCTGACGATCGCACTCCCCCATTCCCCCGGGGTTGCCAGCCCCGTGCCATGCCATCCACTCCTCCTGCAAGCCTCTCCCCTCGCTCTTTTTTTAACCTTCCATTCCTTCCCCTCCACTTCCTCCTTTCATCCTCCCTCTCAGCTCTATGGACGAGCGCCTTCCGCCTTTCCCTCGGGGCTGCCAGCCCCATGCCCTCCTCTCCTCCCTCAAATCCCGCCTCACTTCTCGGTACGTCTCTCACGCCGCCTCTCTAATTCACATGCCCCCGAACTCCATACCACCTACTTCCCTCTCCCAGCCCCACTCCATCCTCTCCTCCCTCAGATCCTGCCTCACTTCTCGGTATTTCTCTCACGCCGTCTCTTTACTTGCTCCCCACCTCCATACCACCTATTTCCCCCCCCCCCCCGCCATCTTCTCACGCCACCTAAATCTCGCCTCACCTCTCGGTACACCTCCTTCCTTCCCTCCTCCCTCCCACTCCGATTCTTTCCTCCCTCCTTTCCACCCCATCCTCTCCACCTCCCTCCTCGTCCCACCATGTCTCTTTCCTCTCCATTCCCTTCTCACCGATTGCTTAATCACCCACTTCGCTCTGCTCTGCAACCAACCAACCAACCAACCAACCGCTTCGCATAACACCAATGGTCTTTCTCGCTGCAACTCAGGTGACTTTCGAGTCGGCTCAGTAGTATTTTTTTCGTCTTTCTCCTATCTTCTTTCCTGTGGCCTGTTGTTGAGTCGTCGCAGAAATGAACCTTCTTTCCCATGGTGGTTCCTCCTCTCCTTTTCCTGCTTAGAGCCTCGTCATTGCACCATCCTCCTCCTCACACCAACCTCCTCCCCTCCCCCTCTCTCAGTCATCCACCTCTGCTCCTTCGCTACTGCCCTCTGCCTTCCTGTATTGGAGCTAAAATCACCTTCTCTCCTTCTCCCCTTCTCTCCTTCGCTACTGCCCTCTGCCTTCCTAATTCCTCGTTTCCCTCTTCTCCCTTCTCCGTTTTCCTCGCCCTTCTCCTCTCCCTTCTTCCCTCTCCTCTCCCTTCTCCCATCTCCCATCCCCCCGTGTCCCCGTTGATCCCAGGTGGTCCAAAGGCTCTTCTTCCTCCTCTTCCTCCTCATCACCAGCCAAACTGCGCCACAGAAGCTGATTGGCTGCCAATACAGCTGACTTGCACCACCTGCCACTCCATCCCGGGTGGTCCAAAGGCTCTTCCTCCTCCTGTTCCTCCTCTTCCTCCTCTGTATGCTCCTCCTCATCCTCCTCATCCTCCCTACCATCAACCCCACCACCAGCCACACTCCGTCACAGAAGCTAACAGCCACAAAGGCTCGCTTGAGCCACTGGAGGTCAGAGAGGGGTGCAAGGCAAGCACGCAAGCAAGCAAGCAAGGCTAGCTGGGCTCACCTCACTGACACTGTGAATGGTGAACCCAGGCTGGCTGGAGTGGTTGGGATGAGGGAGGGGCGACATGGCGAGGAGGGGGAGGCGGGAATGCCTGAGGTGGAAGGAAGGGTGAGTGGACAGCTGTTGAGAAGGGTGGTTGGACGTGTGAGGACGTCGCAAGACGCTGGGAAGTGGGTGGGACGAGGTTGGAGGAAGGTGGGACGAGGGAAGGGAAAAGGTGGGAAGAAAGTGGAAAGACAGTGGAGGAAAAAATTGAACACACGTTTGGGGTTCGTGGAGAGGTGGGAAGGGGTGGAAAGAGGTGGAAAGAGGTGGAAAGAGGTGGAAAGAGGTGGAAAGAGGTTGAGGCAGAGAGGGAGTGCAGTGAAAGGCCGTTGAACATTAAACCCTCCCCTTCTCACTCTCATCCATTCTAGCAATGCAGACTCTGGTCTGGTGGTTGCTCGTGCATTTGATTTCCCGATCTTCTCAAGGGCGTATAACTTGAACAACTACGGTATTGCCATTAGCAGCAGCACAGGGCTTATCTGGCTGTGTATTGGATGCATAGCTTTGCTTTGGATTGGGCTTGTGTGTATAGAGCACACAAATCAGTACAGTGGATGCTGTAATGTAGGTGTTAATAAAGTTTGTTTGCTGTACGTATGGGACAGAGAAATATGAACAGGAGGAGTCCATGAGGTGCTTGAAGGAATGACTCCTCAAACAACACCACAGAGAGCAAGCCGGATAGAGCATGGACATCAACACTGAGAGCCATTCAAGAGCAGCCCTCTCTCTCATGTAGTATAGTAGTTGGATTCGATGCTGTGCACGCAAAGAGATCAGGTTGAGAATGAGAGCTGCTGACTTGGTGCTGAGTCACCGAGCTCCTGAAGTTGGAACTGGGGGTGGGGGCCTTATATCCGGGGTATTACAGTATACACACTACGGTACTACCAACTAGCAACACAAGGCTCGGCTGGTGCTGACACCAAGTTCCTCCTGATGATCTTGTGGATTTCATGATTCATGACAGAGAGAGCTGTGCTGTGCAGCATGTGCTGTGTACACTGATTACAATGCTGTAGATACATGCACGACATATAATGCATTCAGGTGAGATGAGATGACATGAGATGAGTTGGGACCCACTGGGGCTGGAAGCAGGCACAGCAAGGTTACCCTGATGCAGACACCCAGGTCTTGTGCGTGGATATCAAAGCAGAGAGCAACCCACAAGCAGCCAGAAGCGCGGGATTCCCTAGCGGGCTGTTCCCATCGGAGTCTTCTAGAATGTCATGTAGGGACAGGAGTGCATCTGATAGGTCCTGAATCAGAGCCAATGTCTATAGTAGCCGCTTGAATCTGAGCAACTTCAGAACCTTCCGTGCAGCCTCCTCTGGTGATGACGTCATGTCCATGATGGTGGTACTGCTACCAGACTGATCAGGCGATTGGCAGGATCCGCCATTGGAGAATGGGATTGGCTGGTTTCTGATCTGCAGTGAAACTGACCGCTCTTTGTGCAAGAGGGTGGTTATCTCCATGGATTTCAGGGCTACACTTCCGAAATACCCTATGAACTCCGCCCATGCGCTGATCTTCTGGAGCTGCCTCGAGTGCTTCTTGTCTAAGGCGCCGGCCTTAACCTGCCATGGAAAGCATGGAACACAAAGCGAACCAAAAGGTATGTTACAATGCACTCATAGGTGTCCCTTTCGCATACATCGAGCTGTTGTTCTGACGCGTTCACATATGCTTCGGCAGGATCCTGCTTGTTCATTCACCTTGGAGTCCAATAAGGAATGTACAGGTGCAATGTGCAAGACACACAGTCCCACATGCAAGGAGCAAGGCACACTGAGACTGTTCCACCTACCAGCCACACGAGCTGCTCCACGAAGCAGTACACCCCCTCGCCGCCGCTCGTGACGAGCTCCAGAAACTCGTTATAAGACGCTTCAAAACAACGTATGATCAAAGGCCGTTCCACCTGCCAGCCACACGAGCTGTTCTACGAAGTACACCCCCTCGCCGCTGCTCGCAACGAGCTAATATACTCGTTTAAAGACGCCTCAAAACAAATGTATAATAATATTTTATTCCACCTACCAGCCATACGAGCTGTTCCACAAAGTAGTACACCCCCTCTCCGCCGCTCGCCACGAGCTCCAGGAACCCCTCGGTGCTGCTGAACGGCGGAGCCTTCCTCAGCGCATCCACGTCTTGCAGAAACTTCCCCACGCGCAGAGCCTTCCGGCTGGCTCCCACGCTCGACTCGAAGCTCTTGAGCCGTCGCACGGTTTCTGGCTGGGAGCCGGCTTTTTGTGAGGGATTTAACGAGACGGCGAGGAGGAGCTTAACGGAGTACCGGCAGATTTTGAGCACTTTGTCGGTGCCGTCCCGCTTTTGGAGGAACGCGACGGCTGTGTCTAGAACGTCGTGAGATTGTTTCGACATTGTGGTGTGGTCGATTCTTATCCAATGCGGGTACCGTTACTACTCGGACTCGATAACGCTAGTGACCCTTATTGAGCAACGCGCCGTGCGGTTACGTAGTACAATAGGCCTAGTGCAGCGGCTGCTAGGTCGACAGCTGCGACTCATTCACGAACGTAACCACTATACGCGTCGCCAGGTATCGCAATCATCAGGCTTCGAGGGAGCATAGGTGGATCCACGCCGAAGGAGCATACATTGCTGAAAATCAATACGCAGAAAGCGTGCTGCGTTGTGCGTGCGGTGCGGACCCAACCTGCGCTAACTAGAGCTACGAAGGAAGGAGGGAGCTTAGAACGAAGCCGGGATCACGCAGCTGGTTCTACGCCTAACCAAGAATAGCTGTCAGTGAAAGATCGTACAATGATGGATGTGTGTCAAGTGCCGATGCCAAGTAAGATCCTGATTGGTTTACGAGTGACGAGTTTTTTTACGAGCGGGGGAAATACATGCGCGAAGTTCCAAAGTGTTGAGGCCAACACAAGAGCTCAGGGGCAGGTTTGGGTCACATCCGAACCTCTTGCGTGACAGGTTTGGGAAGTTGCACTTTGTGCGACCAACACTGACGACGGGAACACAGATTGTGCAAGGGAGTGAAGTGATAGGGAAAAATCAAGCGCCAAGGTTAGCACTCCAGCCCTACCTCCTTACACGTAGTAGAAGCATTACCACTCCATTAGTAACCTAGCTCCTATCCAAAGGCGTCAAAAGGACAAAGAATGTCACGTAACAGGGGTGAGCAGCAGTAGCGCTCCCCTTTGCCTATGCTTATGATTAGGTAATAGCCGTCATCTTCCCACCACCCGACCTCCGCTTCCCCGCCACCCCATCTCCCCTGCTCGCCGACCGATCTCCCGTGCAACCCGCCCGAGTTCCCGTTCCCGCGGCCCGATCTCCCATTTCTGCCGCCCAATATCCCCTTCTCGCCTCCTCTCGCCTCCCCGCGCGTGCTCCTCTCGCCTCTCAGCGCGTGCTCCTCTCCCCTCCCAGCGCGTGCTCCTCTCCCCTCCGCGTGCGTGCTCCTCTCCCCTCCGCGTGCGTGCTCCTCTCGCCTCCCCGCGCGTGCTCCTCTCCCCTCCCCGTGCGTGCTCCTCTCGTCTCTCCGCGCGTGCTCCTCTCCCCTCCCCGCGCGTGCTCCTCTCCCCTCCGCGTGCGTGCTCCTCTCCCCTCCGCGTGCGTGCTCCTCTCCCCTCCGCGTGCGTGCTCCTCTCGCCTCCCCGCGCGTGCTCCTCTCCCCTCCCCGTGCGTGCTCCTCTCGCCTCCTCGCGCGGCATCCCCCCTGCACGCCCTCATTTCCCCCCCTGCACGCCCTCATTTCCCCCCCTGCAGGCTCTCATTACCCCCCTTTTATGCACCCGTTTCCCCTCTGCTCACTCTCTTTCACCCCTCACTCACGCGTTTTCCCCTCTGCTCACTCTCTTTCCCCCACACTCACCCTTTCTCCCCTCTGCCCACTCTGTTTCCCCCGTCACTCACCTTCTTACCGAATTCTCACTTTTCATTCACCCCTTTTTCCAATCCCGCTTCCCCTTTTCCATCTCTCCTTCATGCCTCCCACCACCTCTCCCTGCCTTCCTTGCTTCTCTCTTTATCTCCTTCATGCCTCCCACCATCTCGTTTTCCTTCTCATCTCTTGTGGGCCACATCACAAGGCCCGTCTGCCCTCTCACACTCTTCCTGCCATTCTCACTCTCGCAATCCTCACCGCCGTCCCTTCCTTCCTGTAACCAATCTCCCCTCCCCCCTTTTCCCTTCCTTCCCTCCACTTCCTCCCCTTCCCTTCTTTCTCTCCCCATCATTCCCTCCCCTTCCTCCCCTCCCCTTCATCCCCATCCCTGCCCTTTCCTCCCTGCCCTTCCCTTCTCGACCCCGCCCTTCTACGTCACTCCTCGCCTTCTGCCCTCCAGTTCATGTGCATGTGCTGCCATCACTTTTGCCCCATACATGCATCTTATTAACTCATGTTTACTCGCTTGTATTCCCTTTTCACCCTCCGTCCCTTCAAATCTCCCCTCACTTACTACCCATCTCCCTGCCTTTCCATCACACCTCCCTGCCTTCTCATGGATTGGAGGCACCATTGCGACACCAGGTGTCATACAACCTGAAAAATCATACGCAAAGCTACAAGCTACAAGCCAGTATAGGAACATGCCAGTATTAGGGACATGCCTCTATCTATCCTTCTGACACTCTCAGTGTCCATACATCTTGGAAGAATATCTTGCACTGCAGAAAGAAAAGTACATATTGTGCCTTTGATATGGATATCTCCTACACTAATACAGTATCATGCTTGCATACAACACACAAGAAAAACAGGTGGTGGTACGGTATAGAGCGTGGACTAGCTTTAGCTGCGCCTCAGCTTGCTCCTCTGCTTCACCACTGAAAATACAGGGAGTGGAGTAGGCAGGAATAATTGTGTGAAGGAACATGGGGGAGGTGTTGTGAGGTGCCAAAGGAACAACTGCAAGGGAACACAAGCAAGCGCACATGATGAAAGCATGTGGGGAGACAGTGATGGGTGCACATGCATGGGAACTACGGTAGTGGGCGGGTGAGGTGTGAAGGGGAAGGGGAGGGCATGAAAAGGAAGGGAAGAGTTGAGAAGGGATGGGGAAGGGAAGCGCAGGGCAGGGAGGGAAAGGCAGGGATGGGGAGGGCAGGGTGGAACAGGGCAGAGGGTGGGGGGAAGGAGGGCTGAGGGGATGGGGGGAAGCAGGAAAGGGGATGGGGGGAAGCAGGAAAGGGGATGGGGGGAAGAAGGAAAGGGGATGGGGGGAAGCAGGAAAGGGGATGGGGGGAAGCAGGGAAGGGGATGGGGGGGAGCAGGGAAGGGGATGGGGGGAAGCAGGGAAGGGGATGGGGGGAAGCAGGGAAGGGGATGGGGGGAAGCAGGGAAGGGGATGGGGGGAAGCAGGGGGGGAACGGAGGAGAAGCAGGGGGGGAAATAGAGAGCAGAGGGGAAATTGATGGAAAAGCAGAGCGGGAATTGATGGGGAGCAGAAGGGGGAATGACGGGATTTATCGCAACCCGTCGTTCGCACCTAATCAGGGCGGCAGGGAGAATGAGTGGAAAGGCAAGGGGGGTGGGGGAAAGGAAAAGGGGTTGGGGAGGAGAGAACGGAGATAGGGAGGATGATCGCCGGCAAGCAGGAGCGCATTTCCTGTCTCCACTCACCTCCCCTCCCATTTCCTCCCCTCCACATCCCACCTACCCCCTCCCCTCCCCCCCCCTGCTCCTTCTCCCCGCCTCCACTCCAACCCGCCTCTCCCCCGCTCTCCTCCCGCTCCTTTCTCTCCCTCTTCCGCCGCCTCTCTCCCGCCCTTCCCCTCCTCTCTCCGCTCCTCCGCTCCCTACTTGCTCCTGCTTCGCTCCCTCTCCCACTCCCCCGCTCGGCCCCCATCCCCCCTGCAACCAGTCGACGGCAAGCTGGACGACCGAGTTTTGGGACATGTTTGGCGGCTTCGCGCCACTGGCTGCACTTGCGCTCGCAATCGCCCCACTCGTCCAGGCGCTGCTGCACTGTGCGCTGTTCTTGTGATGTGCTGTATTACACGATGTGCTCTTCACCCTGCTACGCCAAGGACCTGCATTCATGCATGACCCCCTGCATGCACGCCCCCTCGTCGCGTCCCCTCCCGTCCCTCCCGTTTCCGCCCCGTACCGTCGCATCCCGCCCCTTCCGCGTGCTCCTCTTCCCTCCCTTCCATTTGCGTCCGGTCTCGTCGCATCCCGCCTTCCCGTCACGTCCCCTCCCGGCCCCTCGTCGAGATTCTTACCTTCCTGTGCCGTCCCGTCCCGTCCCTCTAGTCCCTTCCCGTCAAGTCCTGTCCAGTCCCGTCGCTTCCCGTACTGTCCCGTCCTGCCCCATCGCGTCCCTTACCTGGCGCGCCTCATTACCTGGACATGGTTCACGATAAGCACGGGATGTACCCTGGTCGCCGCTGATACTGATAAATGAAGACCTAATTTCAAGTTTATAGGTCGGCCGTATATGCTGATCAACGAGAATCTAACTTTTGTGTAAGAGGTAACCGCGGTTGCTAGTGGAAAGAGTTTTACTCTTGAACCTGAGCCTAGTGCTAGTGCGAAATCGGGTTTCTGAGTTCTGTCAGTCTCATATTTTTCAGCTGTTGTAAATGCTTGATTCGTGCGACAACCTGGTCGCCGGTGGGGGAGTTTGGGCGATCGTGTTGTCGCCGTGCAGGTGTGTTTTCCAAACCTACCTGAGTGCACGATCGCATGATTGGTTTGGCACGTCCCTGCGCATACCGCCAAGCAAGTTTGTAGGTTCCCAACCAATCGTTTCAACCTGGGCCAACCTTCAGTGGAGTTGTGCGACAATTTGAGGGTTACCGGATACCAAGCGTTTAACACTTGGTTGGGACACAGAAATATGAGACGCGAGCTTTAAAAAAAAAAGCTGTGTCAATCAGCATTGAGTAGCCAGCTTTTGTATTTGCGCTGTGTGCCTGCCTGCCTACGCTGGGTGAGTTGCTTTGCTGCAGTTCCCGCTGCAGGTTCAGTCTGGCCCTCGGGATGGTGGTGTGAGATGGGTAAACGCTAGCCGTGGATTTCAGCTCTCCCTCCTTCGGAAGCCCGGTTTCGAACTAGAAATACCGAAGCAGGTTCAGTTGACCCACGTGTACAGATGATGTGGCATAGAGCTGCGTACGACACCATGAATCCACGTCAAATATGGTCCACTCCAGCGTTCCCCTGGGCAAATTCCAGAGTTGCCGTAAGAGTCCCACGACTTGTTCATTACACAGCAGATGGAACCGCGATAGATTCCTAGGTTGAGAGGGCGAGAGGGTACGGTACGATGCCGCCATGGATTCCTCCGCGTAACTTCGGAAGCCTGTTACGTGAAGGTTACCTATCAGTTGGTAACAATGAGCACAGTTCTACATTCCTGAGTGCATTGCGAAGCAGAAGATATTTTTATCGTGTCCATCCCGCGGACATTTTATCTTCAGCTACTCGGGTCAGGCTCACTGTTTCAACGTTTTATCAAGATCAACTATTACCTAGGCTTCAAGACATTGAATTCAACAATGACGTCAAGGTTTTTTCCGCACACAACTACCAAGGCTGCAATTTACAAGATAAGAGTTACAACTTGGATCAGGCTGCTCATGATCCCAAGGTCTCAACAGCGGGAACTCAGCACATCGCGCAGGAGATCAGAGCCCGAGCTTTCGGGATATTATTTAAGGAGGTGGTGCTCAGTTTCTTGGCAGCTCAAGTTTCTGTGTTCATTATTCCCATCCTGAAGCCTTTTCCATCACGACTGCTGCTTTTTTGGTTTCATCACTGCACCATGCCTCCTAAGGGTCGTCCAGCGAAGGCTCCTGTTGAGGTCACGCCGCCTGCTCCTGACTCTCCGGTCGTGCCGTCGCCTGACTCTCCTGTCTCTCCTGATGGAGTAAATGTCCCGCGGACTGACAAGATCGTTGTTTCGGGACCTGCGGGGAAGAATGGTTCTGGAAGCACGGACAACAATGATGCGGTTAACGTCTCCCTCCCGTCTGCTGCTGCTGTCGATGTTGCTATCGCTGGCTGCTCTGGTTTAACTGTGGAAGAAAAGGCGAGCATGCAGCAAGTCGCAGGAGGATCAGATGAGGGTTTCCTGGAGGATGATTCGGATGAGGAACTCGACATTGACATTGCAAAAGAGGCTGCTTTCCGTCTTCGCTTTATTGCAATCCTTCTGATCCCAATGGCGCTGTCTCAGGATGTTAAAGCTATCATTGCTGCACTCCGTGTTCTAATGAAGAAGGTCTGGAGCAGTTCACTTACAGAGAATGCGGGAGTCACTGCTAATATCCAGGAGATGTCACCTGGTTATGTGGCCAAGACTCGCTTCTGCCGTCTTCAGATTTCTTTCCTCGACGAGCGTGACACACATCACATCAAGTTTCATACCTTCGAATATCAGAAGACGAACGGCCCGTCGGTGAAGTGTCTCTGGCAGCATACTGAGGACTCCTCTTACCTCAGGGAGAAGTCGTCTAACCCGCTCGCGATTGAAGTTCTCTTTAAGCGGGTCCCTGCTAACATTGTACCTGACGTGCTTAAAGATCTTCTTGTCCGTTTCAAGCTTAAAATGAGGAAGCAGTCGGCTTTCAAGGACGGTTTCTGCTTCCATCGAGTGGCTCACCCGCTGACCGGCGCAGACACTGATGTGGTGAAGGGACTGGTCATTCAGCACCCTGGGGACCGGTACCGCTGGCGCCATATTGTTGACAACCCACTGGAGGTCGGCGCGAAGCTGCTGGTTCACTATCCTGAGTTGTCCTGTTCTCTCTGCGGCGGACAGCATTATGAGATTTATCATGATCTGTTCGTCACCGAGAGACAGAACAATATAGGGAAGTGGTCACTGACCTTGGGAAATATCCATCGCATCAACGGTAACTGCACGGATCAGTTTACAGCTCACGACTCACCTTTTCCTTTTCTTACGCTTACTGACGAATCTGCTTGCTGTCGCAGCTGCTTCCTTGCGTACTTCCGCACTGATCACCCCCATTCTGAAAGATCCTGCTGTTGCTCTTATCTCCACCGGTGGGAACCGCGAAGAGTGGATCTGCACGCAAGTCTGCTGCGGGAAAGCAAAAGGGAAAACTTTCATGGCTGCCTCAGACCACATTGCATCTGCATCTCATCTGCTGAACCTGGAGAAGCTGGGTACTGCGACCAAGTTCACACTCGACAAGATGATCCTCAGCAATCTGAAGAAGGAGTATGGGGTCTGAGTCGAGCCGAGCAGGGTGTTTTCATTGCAATAGCCGTTTGGGTGTCCGTTGTTGGAGTAGTTCTCGTTACCAGCCTGTGGATGAAGCGGGGCTGCCAGATGGTGAATAAATGAGTAACAGAAATTTCTTCTCCTTAGCAGGCCTGAATGTCAACGGCCTTGGCGATCTGACAAAGCAATCTAAAGTAACCTCATGGACAAGAACAGCAGCAGACGTACTGATTCTCTCGGACACCAGACTGCCTGACGACCATCCTTACTGGAAGACAACCTCTTTCTCCACAGTCCTAACCACCCCCCCAACTGCTAAAGCGGGAGGTGTGGCGGTGCTCACCAGGAACCCATCTATCACCATACATAAGATCTCCACTCACCCTTCTGGCAGACTGATAACCGCTGAAGTCAGTCGGCCCGGTCTCACTTTAACTCTTTTAGCCACATACTTCCCTGCTGACGCAACTGATCGTAGCTCCTTTTTAGCCAATGTCATCGGCCCTGCCATAGATCTTGTTCCACCCACAGCGCACGTTGTCCTGATCGGGGACCTGAACACAGTGGAAGACCCGTTTTTAGACAGGACATCACAGTCAGGATCGTCACTAGAAAACGACAGACTTATCTCGCGATGTAGCCGCTTTCAATTCTCGGACGCTTTCCGCACACTGCATCCAAAGCTGAAGGAATTTACCTTCTACTCCGCCTCCAAAGAGTCTAGCTCCAGGATAGATCGCGCGCTCGTCTCTTGCTCCTTACTTCCGCACCTGGAGATAGCCGCACATACCATGCCAGAGGAGTACATCTCAGATCACGGTTTCGCTATTAAAGTTGCTTTCAAGGTAAAGGCCACTTCTCACCTGGGCCCCGGAATCTGGAGACTGCATGCTGCAGCCATCGGCAGGCCAGGGGTCAGGAAAGCGGTGGAAGCTGCGCTTGCCAAGGCAGAGGCAAGTGGCGAGGAGGATTTTGAGCTATTGCTGGGCAGACTTAACGCGGGCCTGCGGTCGTATATGAAGGAGGAGAGGAAAAGGGCCAAAAAGACCACGGCGCATCTGGCAGACGTGGTGGCGGAGCTTCGGCAAGAGCAAATGCGGAACCCAAGCTGCCAGCGCGCTAGGGATCTACTGTTGGTCAGGGAGACGCAGCTGCGGGAATACCATGCGGCGAAGCGGGACAGACTTCATCTGATGGCGGGTACGAACATTGAACTGGCGGGAGAGGTGCCGTCCCCTTTCCTGTCAGCGAGGGTAAAGGTCAGAAAGCAGCGCACACAGATTGCAGAGCTGTCAGTAGGCGGTGTGACGGTGACAGATTCCAAAGAAATTCTGGCGGCGGCCACCAACTATTTCACAGACCTTTTTGGATCGGACAGTCGCTCGACGACGGCCATTTGGAAACTATTGCCGGGGAAGAAGCTGGGCTCTGACGCAGCGGCGGCACTGGAGGCGGACTGGTCGGAGCAGGAGGTGAAACAAGCTTTCAAAGCCTTGGCAAACAACAAATCGCCCGGGAGAGACGGTCTTCCGAAAGAGCTCTTCGAGCAGAACTGGGATGTCTTGGGGGGAGAGTTCCTGAAGATGGCGAAAAGTTTCTCAGAATCGGCCTCGCTCCCTGCAAGCGTCAAGGAAGCGGTTACCATCTTGCTTTATAAAAAAGGAGACAAAGACAAGCTGGACAACTATCGCCCCATCACCTTACTCAACTTCACCTACAAGGTTTTGGCGAGAGTTGTGGCGAACAGGATGAAGCAGTGGCTCCACTTAGTGATATCGGAGGAGCAGTACGGATTTATACCTGGGAGGAGGATCTCTGACGCGATTGGCGTGGTGGCTGACGTCGTTGAAGCAGCGAAAAAGGGGAACGAAGATTGGTACATGCTCCTGGTGGACTTCCGTAAGGCTTTTGACTCGGTGTCCCGGAGTTTCCTCTTTACGATCCTGAGAGATATGGGTTTCCCGGAGAGATTCGTAGGCTGGGTGGAAGGCCTGCACAGAGATACAAGGACAAGGTTACTAGTCAATGGCTGGCTGGGAGAGGCGGTGGAAGTAAAATCAGGGGTGAGGCAGGGGTGTCCGCTTGCTCCATACCTCTTCCTCTGCGCGGTGGAGCCGCTTGCGCAAGAAGCGTGTAGGCGGAAGCTGGGCCTCTGCAACAAAGTTGGACAGCGGTTAGTTTACCTGGGTTACGCGGATGACACAACACTGTTTTTGGAGGGAAAACGCCAGATCGCCAGGGCAGGAAAACTACTGAAGCAATTTGCAGAGATGTCAGGTCTGGTCACCAACAGGGAAAAATCGGTTGTCATGCCACTGGGGCATAATCTTGGAAGGAGACCTGGGACTTTGGGGGGCTTCAAATGGGCAAAGGCAGATGAAGCTGAACGCCTTCTGGGGGTCTGGATCACCCCCTCCGGTAGCAGCGAACCGACATGGTTAAGGGCTTTCGAGAAAATTACAGTGGAGCTGATCAAGTGGAAAGCGCTTTTCCTCACGATTGCGGCAAGGGTGGTGATCATAAACTGCTACATCACGCCTAAGGTAGCTTACCAGGCTCAAGTTTACCCCCCACCGGAAGAAGTCTGGAAGAAGCTGATGAAGTTAATTCATAACTTTCTGTCGGGGAATAACGCGTCGGCGGATGGAGGTTTTGTGCTGTGGAGCTGGGATCTCCTCTCTACTCCGCGAGGTGATGGGGGGCTCGGAGTACTGGACCCGGAGGTCCTCATGGCTTGTCTTGCGGCCAGGAGAATCGCTGGACTCCTGTCGGAGGGGAACGGCAAGAAAAAAGAAATCATGCTTAAAGCGGCGGGGCTCCCGATGGGAGAAGACACTTTCACGGCGCACGAAAAGGTGTTGAAGCACTGGCCGGGACACGGGGAGCGGTGGAAGCAGACCTGCGAAACTTTCCTGAAATCGCCTCTCGCTGACACAGGGAAAGTCAGTAGCAAGGAGGAGGTGGCGCTGGAAAGAATTATTTTCAACAGGAACGTGCTGCTGAACGGCACTAACCCAGTGGGCGGGCAGAAGGAGGCGAAAGGGCTCTGGGATACTCGCATGGGGGACCTGGTAACCACATCGCCCTCAGGCGAAGCAGCAGTTAAGGACATGGATGTCTTGGAAAAAGAGTTGAGGGGCAAGGACTCTGCTCGGCTGGCTCTCAAAGCCTTTGCTGCAGCCCCGGAGGAGTGGAAAACCCTGCTGATCCCCAACGGCACGGCTGGAGGAGGAGGGGAGAAAGAAGCGGTTACAGCGGTGACAGCAGGGGGGTGTCGCGGGGCCACGGCTTCAATTTTCCGGTCAGCAATTTTTGACGGAGAGCGAGCAGCTTCTCTGAAGCGGATGAGGGAGGTGTGGACCAAACCCGATGCAGTCCTAACGAAGCAGGCAAAGTGGTCTGGCCGATGGTGCGGCAAGATTGACTGGCAGCGAATCATTCGCACACGCAACTCGCTGGCCATCCCGAGCCGACCGAGAGATGTCCTCACACGGGTGCATAACCTGAACCTTCAGGTCGGGGAGCGAGTTGATTTTCTCAGCTGCAAGCCAAAATGCCCATACTGCGGAGTGGAGGAAACGCACGAACACTGTCTTTTCTCCTGCCCGAGAATTCAGCCAGTTGTCTCAGGGCTCCGTCGTGCTCTGCGCATGCTCAATCCAAGGAGGACAACTGCCTCGCTGGGGGACCTCTTGTTCCAGGAAACCGGAACGGCGTCGGATTTCCCGGAGGCTACCCTCACATCGATTACTTTTCATCAGCTGTGGGTGGAGAGATGTGAAGCAACTTTCCGAGGGCAGAAATTCAGAGCCCGGAGGGTTCTCAGGAGGATTGGGTCGGTTTTTAGGCTACACGCGAGAGTGTACACGAGAGCAATGGGTGCCAAAAGCTTGCGGCCAGGGACATCAGGGAAGGGAAAACGGGTCAGGAGTGTTTTCGAAGCGGAGCAAAAAATGCTGGCGAGGATAAGGGAGGCAGGTGACAAAAAATGGAAGTGGTCGACAAACTTCGCTGCTATCTGGAACAAGCCAAAGCGGGCGTTCCTGCCGCCCTAGATGCATTACTGGGCAGTGCATGGTGCAGTGCCCTCACGCTCAGTTACGACTGCTTTTGATGTATGCATTGTCCTCATAAATGTATATGTCAATTTCAAAAAAAAAAAAAAAAAGCAGATGGAACCGCGGCGACGTTTCGAGGTCGATTTTGGATGCAACGAAGACTGAACCCTACAGCTGGCTGAGGCGGTAACCTGTCCAGCCAAAGTGTGTTGCGGGAAATTCGAACTGGAAGTGTGTAACACGCCTGGCCAGGTGGAATACGCCCGAAACGCATCATTCTGCAGAACCATAGGTTTGGCTGGGACAATGTGGGCGCAAGAGGGAGAAACGGTGCGGAGCATCTCGCCCCCTTTCCATTCTGTCCGCGGTGAATCCTTGCTCGTTCCCCCCACCCTCCCCCCGATTCCCCCAACCTCCTTCTCCTGCGCGTCTCTCCCCCTTGGGCTTTCCCCGCTCCTTCAATTGAATGACCCCCTTGGGATTTGTCGACTGCTGAAAGTGAAGGAGGGCAAGCAGGGAGGACAAGAGCTCGGGTTTGGAGGGAGCAGAAACCGAAGCAGGGGAGCAACAAATTCAAGTGTACTGTTGCTCAGGAATGTGCTGGAATTGCCTGAACGGAACTAGAAGGTTGTTAGCATTGTCAGCCATGGCGCGCCGTTCTTCCCTGCTGCTCATTTTCGTCGCTATCCTGCTTTGCGCTCCGCGTTCGTTCGCCGTTCGGTACGTAGAAGCTGGCTTGGTTGTCAGGGATTGTTCTGCATGATCTGCCAACCTTCAACTCTAAAAGGTTTCCCGCTTCTCATTCACCGATTCGTGTTCCTTGATAAATGGTAGATTCAGCCATTGTTTTTTTCTCTACCTTTTTTCCGTGCGTTTTATTAAAACTCGCTTGTCACAGGTCTCTCGTTCAGATGGAGCAGCAGGCAGCGGTGCAGCAACCGGCGACTTCGCAATCAACAATCCCTCCGAAGCAGATCTCGGCCAATCCGAAACCGAAGCCGTCTTCCGCAGTCAGTAGCCAAAAGGACATTTTAGGCGAGCTGGCTGCAGACGCGGTTAAGGCTGCGAACGAAGCACGCACTATCGCGGACGAGGGTGCGGCCGCAGCAGAAGCGACGGCAGCAGCGGCAAGCAGTGAAACAGGCACCACAGTTGCCGAAACAGCAGCAGATGCTGCAGTAGCAGCAGCAGCAGCGGCAGTGCCAGCTGTCACTGGCGCAGGGGCGATGGTTCTGGGGACCGAGGCTGTGGACGGTATCGCTGACGTGGCAGGTGCAGGCTCCAGCGCAGAAGCCGCTGACGCCGTCGCGGCGGTCGCAGCTGTTGACGTGGCGAGCGCCGCGACGGACGCCGCGACCGACGTGGCTGCACACGCGGCCGAATCCGCCGCTGACGAGGCCTCCGACGAGGAAAACGATTTCGATAAAGCCAAAGAAGCGAGAAAGAAAGCCTTAAAAGATGGAGAACTAGTCTGGCATAAGTGCGTGCAGTCAGAGAAGCTGGGCGAGGTGTGCGTGGGGGTGTTCGTGGATTCTCAGCAGGAGCCGCCGCTGCTGTTCGCGGAGATCAGCCTGAGGAACCACACGTTCCTCGCGCCGCTCGCCAAGGCCAAGGCGTGTCTAGATGATCAACTGCTGCTGAATCTGCTGCTGCACGACCCCAAGCTCGCTCCCTTTGCTGCGGAAATCAAGGTATGTGCTGTTTTTTTTGTTTGAGGAGCCACACGTTCCTGGCGCCGCTCGCCTAGGCCAAGGCGTGCTTAAACGACCAGCTGCTGCTGAACATTCTCCTGCACGACCCCAAGCTCGCCCCCTTTGCTGCCAAAATTAGGTACATTCTGTTTTTTTTTTGGTGAGGGGAGTGAAGGTAAACCCTGGCCGTGTGATGGATGTTATTGGTGTGTTGATAGCGTTAAAAGTACATCTCAGCAGACCTGGCCTACAACGAATCTGTGCTTGATTTTGGTGCAGCAATAATATTTCGTCTCTTGGCATTGGATTTGCCTTCCCCGCCTGACTCATCCTTTGCTGTTGCCTTCTGTGTTCGTAGCAGTCATTATGCATATGGTGAGACTGACAGCTGATAACATCAGCAAATTTGTACTTCGTGTAAAGTATTCCATCATCACAACCGCCCTCTCCTTCTCCGTACCCTCCCAACAGGCCATCATGATCATGGAGAAGCTGGCTGCCGCTGATGTCATCAGCGAGTGCGTACTCTTTAACGGCCTCTCCATTACAGTGGACAAGCCCAACGACTGCCTGTACATATCGGCATGCCCCCGCCTCTGCTCTCGCCTGGGCTGTCGCCATGCCCAGTGCCTCTACTCCAAGGACAAGGAATTTGAATGCTTCAGGGTACGCGTGCCTCTGCACAGGCGCAGCAGGGACGTTGCTGTGCGTTGATTCTCCTGTATTTTGTTTCCGTTGTATAGGAATGCTTCATGCATGCTGCCATCACCTCTGTCTAATATCAAGGTGAAGGACTGCTGAGTGGCTTTTCTGCCTGTGCTCATGCAGTCCATGCACTGCCAAGATGCTGATGTTGCTGTCATTGACGAAGTTTATGAGCAGTTGTACAGTTAGCCAGTTAGACGTCTATTTAGAGCAGTCGCACATTGTCAGACCGGCTGAATTCGCCTTTTTATTACACTAGTGATTTCTGCGCATATCGAGGAATCTCGGAAAAGTCGAAGGTGGGTGACGTGTCAGTCATTTTAGGAGATGACGTGTCATTGAGAAAGTGACAGAAGAGAATTGTCTTGTCACCCGCCTCCTGCATGGAAGTGACGGAAGTCTTAATGCTCCAGAGCAGAGTTCGACCCCTCCCCAGTGCGCTGCTGCAAATTCAGGGCGTGCACCCGCCCTCAGAGCTCTTCGTTCCTAGGGAGACAACCCTACAAATCTGGTGTAATGCTTGCTCCTACTTTGCGTAAGCTTGCTGGTCGAACGCATTTCTAGTCCTCATTCTCTTTTCTAGTCCCTACTCATCGTCACTATACCTCATTCTCTTCCAGCCGCCTCTCTCAACAATCCTTCCTCAATATGCAGTCTCTTACGCATATCAATGACCTTTCGGACGACCTTCTCGCGAGGATATTATGGCACTCTATGCCCTGCACATCGCGGAATCTAGACAGTGATGCGTTATGGAGTCAGCTGTTATCAGACCCACCACAGTACATCCGTCCAAGCCTTTCGGACATAGATTCTGTTCGCGAGGAGAAGTCTCCTTCAGCCGTTGGATCCAAGATTCGCCGCGTCTCGTTTGTATGCCGTCGTTGGCGCGAGCTAGCTACGCGTTACGTATCCACTCTCCATGTTAAGACCGGCCTGTTTATCTCCAGCCAAGACCTCTCACCTGCCTTGTCTTCCTTGCCGAACCTCACGCATCTCCATTTGAACGAGGACAGCGTGGAGACTGTAGACGACGCGTCCCTCACTCGTCTTGCCTCCTCATGCCCTAACCTGACTGCGTTTTACCTGAATCGAATCACAAAACAATATAATATAATCGGAACAAGATATGAGGTGGCGCACCCTATTACTCAAGCTGGCCTGGATGGTTTCTTCCAGCGATGCACCCAGCTGGAGCAGCTCTCCCTACCCCGCCTCTACCCAGGCGTTCAGCTACCAGCTTCTTTCTTCCAGCTAAGCCGTCTACATACCCTTTATCTACCAGACGCCGCAGCTTTAGAATCTCCAGATTTAGAGAACCTTAGCTCTCTCACCTTCCTCGATATCTCCTCGGAAAGAATCACCGTACAGCAAATTTCAAACCTCCCTCGCCTTCCCAGACTCGCCAGACTTTCATTTTCCCGTGTCCCCGAGATTTCTCTTGAAAAAACGGAAGCTTCTGCTGCGGCATTCACCATCGAACGGTTGCTACCTTCTCTAAAGTCCCTGAAGTTAGTCCTCTTGCAACTTTCTGATTGGTACGGCACGAGTCTTGAACGGCTGGAGATTTCTCTTTGCCCAGGATTGAAGCAGCTTCCTGACCATTTCGGCGAATCTCTGCCACGCCTTCGTGAGCTGACAATTTCTGCGTGCGAGAATCTTGAGCAGCTACCTGACGGAATTTCTTCCCTCAATCACCTGGAGATCTTGGCAATCATCAACTGCGTAAGACTTACGTCCCTGCCCGACAGTTTAGGACGCCTGTCTTCCCTGAAAAGTCTTGTGCTGGAAAAGCTGGCACTCTCGGGCCTTCCTGACCCCTTCACCCAGCTCTCCTCCATGGAAACCCTTTTTCTGCTTTGCCAAACATCCATCCTCCATCTGTCGGCAGATTTCTTCTGCCTCTCAGCTCTCAGAACACTGTGCCTCGAGGAAGTGGCACTTCCAGAGGACGTTTGCCGCTTAAGCCACCTTCACACCCTTTATGTTCAAAATTGCCCCCTGCAACATTTCCTAGCCTCGTTAACCGGTGTTTCCTCACTGACACGGCTACAACTGGACTCCTGTTACATTGACGAGCTACCTGAGGGTCTAGGAGAGCTGCAAAGCCTGCGAGAGCTGCACTATCATTTTGCTCAAGGTTCAGGGCGATTCCAGAGTCTTTGACTTCGCTGACAGCCCTTGAGATTCTAACATTTTCTTATTGCGAAGACCTGTCCTCCATACCAAGGAGCCTGGAAAACCTCACTCGGCTCAAACGGTTCAAGGTAACTTCATGTGACAGGCTTCGACGGCCTCCTGATCTTCTCCCAGCTTCACTTGAGATCCTGAGCCTGGGAAGCGGGGACCATATCACGTTTCTCCCAGACCCCATTGTGCCGAACAGGCTGTGGAAGCTGAGCTTGGAAAATGTGGAATGTGGACCCACATTCAGCAGCAGTCTATCCCATCTGAGACACCTTGAGCTATCACTTGCAGACGATGCTGAGGAGCTTCCATTTGCCTTTACCCCTCTCTCGCGCCTAAGCTCCTTGATTCTCCATTGTGGCAATCTCAGAAGTCTGCCAGAAGATATGGGATCAGCACTGCCGCAGCTGCGAAAGCTGAAAATAATGAATGCTGGAAAGCTGGAGGAGCTGCCAGCAAGCGTCACTGGGCTTCGGCACCTGACATTGTTGAAGGTCCTGGGGGCTCCCACGTTATCCTCTCTTCCTCATGGCATTGGAGCCTTGTCGAAGCTGCAGGAACTCTGGTTATTCAACTGCGAGAAATTGGATTGCCTTCCTGCTTCCCTCACCCAGCTTTTCTGCCTGCACGAGCTATTAATTTCTCTATGCCCGATACAGTCACTTCCTATCAACTTTGCACGGCTTACCCAACTCAAGTCCCTCTGTTTAAGAGGTTGTAGTGACTTGCAAGCTTTGCCAGAGGATTTGACGGAGCTGAAAATGCTTCAGAGGTTGAATTTGCGGGGGTGTGGTTATGTGAAATGCCCTGTTGCTCTCAGCAAAATGAATGGGCTGATGATACAGCATAATGTTGGTGCTGAGTATTGAGCCATGGAAATATATTGAATAAAGCATTTACGTTACCGTTTCATCGAAAGGACAAAATCTGCTGGGTATGATGTACCGTATGTATTTGCTGTGAATGGCCTTTAATCATATTGGTTGAGCATTGGTACAAGGAAAATAACTGAAAAATCAGAGTTGATACAAATGAAAACGCTGATTCAGGCTAGCTAGGCGGGGTTCGCGGGGTTGTGATGGGTTGGTTGCTGGTATGTGCGAAGTACGTACGTTCGGAAGGAGAGGTCATCGGACCGAACCTGAATGTCCGAAAGTTGGGGTTGCACGTGTACGGATGGAGTGACCCACTAAGGAATCAGGAAAATTCCTTTCACTACTGCTTAGGGTTTACATCCATAACATTCCATAACATTCCATCATGTACAAGCCCTAATGGAATGCCTCCGCTCCTTGATGGGTTGAGAGACGAGAACTACCCCATAACAACCTCAACTAATGAATCCCGTTTGCCCTGCATGAAAGCCCCTGTCTGAGAGGTGCCCTGAGCTTCACCTCTCCTGCTTTTGGCTGCGCACTGTAACATACCCAGGGTGCTCAGGTTGCTCCTTCGCCTTCCGCGGCTGCTGCTGCTGCGCTGAGCTTGGGGCAGGTAAACAAGCAAGTGTTGCTTTAGCTACTACGCCCACACTAAGTTTGTGCCCTCCATCCTATTTAGGCCCGTCACTGCTACGCTACGCCAACGCCTGCCACAACAACCCTAAGATGTCTCCTTTCAGTCAAGCAGATGACGACTGGGGCAGTTGGCCGTAGGTGCTAGGCATCACGCTGCTACCGCGTATGCTACGCCCACCCTACACCCCTCGACGCCTCTCACAACAGCCCTGGGTTGTCCCCTTTCATTCGAGCTGACGACGAGGATGACTGGGGCAGATGGCCGTTAGCGAGAATGGGAGGGCCGTACGACTGAAAGAGCGCTGGGTGTGCTGCTGCTCCCACCGCCCCTGCCGCCGCCGCCGCTGCTGCTGCTGCTGCCGCTGCAGCACCACCAGCAGCAGCACCGGTAGGGCCAAATGAGCCAGGCACGGGGACAGGCAAGGCAGGGGGTCGGGCAGATGCTGCTGCTGCGGCTGCTGCAGCTGCTGCTGTCAGGTGAGGGAGCGGGATGGGGGAGGGACCCACGCCAAGCGCTGCTGCTGCTGCCGCTGCCGCGGCGCTTGTGGGAGCGAATGGGAGCCTGACACGTGGCAGAGGAGCCATGGAGGGAGGGAGGGCACCAGCAGGTATGGGTAGCTGTTCTGATGCTGGCTGAGATGATCCCCCACCTGCCTGCCCCTGCTGCCCTGCCTGTGCTGCTGCTGCCACTGCCGCCGCTGCTGCTGCCGCTTGCTGCTGGTGCTGGTGCTGGTGGTGCTGGTGCTGGCTGTGGTGCTGCTGCCCTGTCGCCTGCATCTGCTCCTGCTGCTCCCTCTCCCCTCGCGCCTCCTGTTGCCGCACAAACAGCGCACCCGGATCACCAGCAGCCGCCGCCGCCGCCGCCGCTGCAGCCGTCGCAGCAGCAGCAGCAGAAGCAGGGTGATCAGCAGGTTGCAGGGAGGGTCTCCAGGGGGGGATAGGCGCCGCTGTCAGAAGCTGCTGCAGCAGCGGCCCTGCTTCTAGAACAGCCTTCACCAGCTGCCCCTGCTCCGGTAAAGCTTTTAACATTGCCTGCATGTCCGTGTCTGGAGGCTCGGGAAGGTGCCTCTGACGCGCGTCCGAGTCTAGAACCGAGGCTAGGACTGCTGGATCGAGGGTTGGTAGTGACGGCGGGAGCAGCATGGGGTTGAGAGTGGTTGGGATGGGTGCGGGGGGGATGGGCGCGGTGGCAGCAGCAGGAACTCCTGTGATGCGAGGGAGGTTGCTGAGAGCAGGGAGGGGCTGTGGGGGGGGAGGGCCGTTGGCAGCTGGAGTGGAAGCAGAGGTGAGTGGGGCGGGTGGGAGCAGGGAAGGGACGGATTGGGCGTGGGGGGGAAGAGAAGGGTTCCACCTGGGTGGGGCAGCTGCACTGGCAGCACCAGCAGCAGCAGCACTGGAAGCGCCAGCGCCAGCAGTGGCAGCATCAGCAGCAGCAGACGGGGGTGCAGTAGCAGCAAGAGGGGCAGCACCAGACAAACCACCCGCAGCTGCAGCAGCACTAGCAGCAGCAACCGCAGCAGCAGCGGCAGCAGCAGTTGCAGCAGATGAACCAGCTGGGATGGAGGAGGAGGCGAGAGAGGAGACAGAAGACAGGCCCATGGCATGCCCTGTGACCCCATTTCTCGGGTGGTGGAAATAGGGAAAGTTGGGAGGCAGGTGCTGCATCTGCTGGTATGGGTGGGCAGGGTGTGACGGGTGCAGAAGCAGGTGGGGCGGGTAGGCCCGGTGGTGGGGGTGGGACTGGGGCAGCTGACCCTGATGGTGCAGCTGAAGGTGTTCCTCCTCCTCCTCATCCCCCTCATCATCCATCTCATCCATTTCCTCCTCGTCCTCCTCCTCGTGACTCCCCATACCGCCACCACCACCACCACCACCACCTAGCGCTGCCCCGTGACCGCCCACATGGCCGTTCGCACCCCCGTGTGCCCCATGGGAGGCGACAAAGAGACCATACTCTTCAGCCTTCACTTCTGCTACTGCCCCATGAGGGGTTGCTGTCCACTGCCCCTGCCCTTCTCCCTGCCTCTGCCCTGTGTCTCCCAGGTGCTGTTGCTGCTGTTGTTGCTGTTGCTGTTGCTGCTGCTGTTGCTGCTGCTGTTGTTGCTGCTGCTGTTGCTGTTGCTGTTGCTGCTGTTGTTGCTGTTGCTGCTGCTGCTGCTGTTGTTGCTGTTGCTGTTGCTGCTGCTGTTGTTGCTGCAGCTGTTGCTGCTGATGTTGCAGCTGCAGCTGTAACAGCTGTTGCTGCTGCTGCTGCTGCTGCTGCTGCTGCTGCTGCTGCTGCTGCTGCTGCTTCTGTTGCTGCTGTTGCTGCTGTTGCTGTTGCTGTTGCTGTTGCTGCTGCTGTTCTGTCAGTTTCTGCCTTTCCTGCTGCTGCGCCTGTGCTTGCAACTGCTGTAGGTGCTGCTGCTGTGATATAGACATCTGCTGCTGCTGCAGCTGTTGTTGATATTGCTGCTGCTGTAGCATTTGTTGTTGGTGTTCCTGGTGCTGCTGCTGCTGTTCTTGCTGCTGCTGTTGCTGCAGCTGCTGTTGCTGGGGATCAAGTGGGGGAATCAGGGGCAAGTCCTGAATCTCTACCATTTCGACCTTCACCACATCTACACCCCCCAAAACGCCTTTCGACAGAGTGCTCGGTGAACCTTCCCCTTTCTGAAATAGCTGCTGTTGCTGCTGCTGCTGTTGCTGTTGCTGCTGCTGCTGCTGCTGTTGCTGCTGCGGCTGCTGCTGTTGCTGCTGCGGCTGCTGCTGTTGGCCCTGCATCTGCTGCTGGACACCACCCCCGCCCCGCCCCTCACCTGCCCGTCTCTGCCCCGCCCCACTCCTCTCCACCACCCCACCTCTCTCTCCACCCATCTGCACCTGTCCTATCGACTCAGCAGCCTGCATATGCAGCTTCAGCAGGCTCTGCACCTGCGCCTGCTGCAGCTGCTGCTGCATCCCCACCGGCAATCCCTCACATTGCATCCCCACCAGCGGCATCCCCCCCCCACAGTTATCAAGGTCTAGTGGGGCGGGTTCTGAGCCGGGGGTTCTTGTGACTAGGAGGGGGGAGTGGCCAGGAGGCAAGGGGGAGTGGCCTGGGGGTAACGGGGAGCGCCTGTCGCCTAGGGATTGCAAAGGGGGTGCTTTGGAGAGGGCGGATGCTGGCTCGGATTGTAGTTGTATGGGAGGGGCTAGTAACGGGGATGTTCTTTCAAGAACAGCGTCTTCGGTGGTGGGGTAAGTGGAGAGGACCATTGCGGGGGTGGGAATGGGGAGTGAGTGCACAGGCTGTTGCTGCTGTGGTTGGTGTTGCTGAAATTGCTGCTGCTGCTGCTGCTGGTGGGTTTGCTGCTGTGGGAGCGATTGCTGCTGAACCGGCTGCTGCTGCTGCGGCGGCGGCGGCGGCTGCTGCTGCTGCTGCTGCTGCTGCTGCTGCTGCTGCTGCTGCTGCTGCTGCTGCTGCTGCTGCTGCTGCTGCTGCTGCTGCTGCTGCTGCTGCTGCTGCTGTTGCAGGATGCAAGAATCTGCCGAATCCTCCACAAAGCTAGAAGCAGGAGCCAGGCACACAAGCCCTTCCACCCTGCCCTCCCTGCCCTCCCTGCTCTCCCTCAGAGGGCTCGGCACTCTTCCACCCGCCTCCCGAACCATCCTCAACGCTAACGGCTCTACCATTTCCACACGAGGCGGCGTGCCTTCTAGACCGCTCAGCCCGACTATCACCCCTGACGATGAGCCCGGCATAAGGATAGCTCTATCCATGTCCCCAGCTGCAGCGGCAGCTGCTGCTGCTGCTGCTGACGCGGCTACTGCAGCTGACGCAGCTGCTACAGCCGGTGCCACCGCCGCTGCAGCGCCGGCAGCAAGCGAAGCAGGGCGCTGGGGGGAGCTGGGCACCGATGAGAGCACGTGGGGCGAGGAGAGCACCTGAGGCGGAACAGAGCTGCGGAAATCACAGGCAGAATATGACCCCGTCCCGCTGGCGCACCCCCCTGCGCCGTCTCCTGATGCTGCAGCTACAGCAGGCAGAATGCGGCGGGGAATGGCGCCTAGCAGCGGGCCTTCGTCTGTGGGCTGAGCTGCTACAGCAGGTGCTACAGGGGGAAGGACGTCCATGGGAATGGGTTGACTCACGTCTGTGTCGAAGAGTGGTTGGTGAGGGGGAAGGGAGTGGCTTTGGGAGTGGGTTTGCTGTTGGTATGCCTGCTGTTGCTGCTGTTGCTGTTGCTGAAGCTGTTGCTGAAGCTGTTGCTGCTGCTGCTGCTGCTGCTGCTGTTGCTGCTCCTGTTGTTGCTGCTGTTGCTGTTGCTGTTGCTGTTGCTGTTGCTGCTGTTGCTGCTGCTGTTGCTGTTGCTGTTGCTGCTGTTGCTGCTGCTGTTGCTGCTGCTGTTGCTGTTGCTGTTGCTGTTGCTGCTGTTGCTGCTGCTGTTGCTGTTGCTGTTGCTGTTGCTGTTGCTGCTGTTGCTGCTGCTGTTGCTGCTGCTGTAGCTGTTGCTGTTGCTGCTGTGGTTGAGGAGGGAGAGGAGGGAGTGAGGAACTGATTGGCAGTTGCACCTGTGACTGCCCATTTGGCAGCACACCTTGCTGCTGCTGCTGCTGCCGCTGCTGCTGCTGTTGCAATTGCTGCTGCTTTTGCAATTGCTGCTGCTCAAACTGCTGCTGCTGCTCCAACTGTTGCTGCTGCTCCAACTGCTGCTGCTGCAGCTGCTGCTGGTGCTGCATCTGCTGCTGCTCCTGCTGCTGCTGCAGTTGCAGAAGCTTCTGCTGCATCAGCACCTGCTGCTGCTGTTGTGGTTGTGGCTGCGCCTGCTGTGGTTGCTGCATGGGAGAAGGGGGAGGACGCTGCCTCGGCTGTTGGAGTGGCGAGGCCGCTACGGGTTGCTGCTGCAGCTGCTGCTGCTGCATTTGATACACTCCCACTGCCTGGAGCGCAGGGGAAGGAGGCGGCTGCTGCTGCATAACTGGCTGCTGCGGCTGCTGCAGTTGCTGTGTCTGAGCATGCGCCTGCGCCTGTGCTTCCGCCTGAGCCTGCGCCTGCGCCTGCGCTTCCGCCTGTGCCTGCGCCTGCACTAGCGCATGAGAGGGCATGTGCCCTTGTGCATGCAGCAGAGGAGAAGGGGGAACAGACTGCTGCTGTCCAGACATCGCTGTTTGCTGTGCCTGCTGCTGCTGCTGCTGCTGCTGGCCAGACACCGTTGGTTGCTGCTGCTGCGATTGGTGCTGCTGCGCCTGCTGCTGCAGCGGCTGTGGGGGCATGGGCGGCAGTTGCTGCAGCAGCTTCCGAGGAGCAAGTGAAGACGCCTTGCTATGGGCAGTCGCACCTCCCACACTCGCCCCTCCCACTCCCGTCCCTGCCATGCCCGTCCCTGCCATGCACGCCCCTGCTGCTGATCCCCCAGTCCCTGCTGCCGCATTCTGCTGCGTCAGGTCATTCCAGCTACCCACCCTCGCCATCCGACCCCCCTGCCCCTGCCCCTGCCCTTGCCCCTGTCCTTGTCCCTGCCCCTGCTGCTGCTGACTTGCCTGACCCTGCTGGGTGGGAAAGCTATCCGCGCTAGAAGCTACTTCGAATCCCACTTGCGGAGACGAAGGCACGGACTGCACTAGCTGGGGAGCACCTCCCACCCCGGACCCTTGCCGAAGCAGCGAGCTAGGCCCGGTACGCTGCACCGAACCTCCTCCCGAGGCTGTGCGCACTGCAGGAGACGCAGGGACGGAACCCCCGCCAACGGCTGATGGTTGCGGCGGCGGTGCCTCTGCTACGCATGAGCCCGTAAGCACTTGCCCTCCGGTTACCGTGGGTTGCTGTGCCACAGGCTGCTGCTGCTGCTGCTGCTGCCCCTGCAACCCCTGCCCCTGCATCCCCTGTCCCTGCAACCCCTGACTCAGCATTCCCTGTCCAAGCATACCTCCCTGCATACTCTGCCCTTGTACCGATTGTGATTGCATCGATGCCTGGGGCTGAGATCCCGAGGAAGGCCCCTGGGAATACCCCCCAGGGATTGGAGGGAGGCCGCTGGATGAAGTGGGAGCGGTTGCCTGGACGGCAGGGAGGGAGGCATGGGCGGGGAGGGACGGCTGCAGGGTCTGCAGATTCCCCTGCTGCTGATGCGGGAACTGAGGCAACGACTGGGATTGAGACTGGCCGAGAGCAGGAGCGCCTCCCGTGCCTCCTCCTGTGCTGGTCGCAGCAGGAGCGGTTTGTGCTGTCAGCAGCTGCCCTTCCATCTGCTGCTGCAGTTGCTGCATTTGCTGCTGCAACTGCGCTTGCTGTGACGACTGCTGCTGCTGCTGCCTTAGCATCTGCTGCTGGTTTAGCACCTGCTGCTCTTCCTGCTGCTGCTGCACGCTCTGCGAATCCACCCCCATCGCCTCCTCGTGAATCTGCTGTCGCTTCTGTCGCAGCAGTCGCAGCTGCTCCTCGCTCTGCTGAATCTCCATCGCCAGCAGCTGCTCCTGCGATAGCTGCGACGCCTGATGCGACGGCCCTGACGACTGCACCTGCGCGACAGCAGGCGACGACGGCAGCGGCTGCTGCGACTGCTGGCCCGTCGCACGACCCGTCGCCTGAGTCGCCTGCGAGGCTTGCGCCTGCGACTGACTAACCACAGGCTCGGGAGGAAGTTCCACGATCACAGGAGCTGATGCTGATCCGGACGCTGCTATAGCCTGCGGAGGAGCAGCAAGCATCGGAACGCTAGACGCTCCTAAAGACGTCCTTATTTGGTGCTGCTCCGTCGTCTGCTGGCTCTCCACCCGCACCTGATGAAACACCTGCTGCTGCACCTGCTGCACCTGCTGCACTTGCTGCACCTGCTGCTGCTGCTGGAGCGACGGCGGCGGCGCCTGATGCTGCTGGTGGTGCTGCTCGTGATGATACACAGTGGTCGTCTGAGGGGACATTTGCCACGTGTCGCCCTGCTGGAACTGCTGAATGCTAGAGCCAGGTGTCAGCGCACTGGGAGCCGTCTGCATGCTCACGGATTCAACCCGAGTCATGGATACTTTCTCCACCCGAGCCAAGACCACAGGCTCGGCAACCCGAGCCATGTCCACAGGCTCGGTAACCGTGCCTGTAATGGACGGTCGGATTAAGGCGTGAGAGTCCGATCGGGCTTGGTCAAGCTCCTGCTTGTGCTTCTGCTCCGCGCTGTCTAGTTGCTCTTTCAGCTCGTCCCTTTCCCGCTTCACCACGCTTAATTGCTCCTCCAGGTATCGAACCCGCGCCTCGTGCAGCTGTCCCTGTGCCGCGGCAGCGGTTCTCGCGGATTGCAGCTCTTCCGTCGCGCATTTCAGCAATTGACGAAGGCTTTCCACTTCCTGAAGCAATGGAAAAAGCACGACGTGGGTGTAAATAACAAGGACGGAAATGTTAAAAAGGAAAAAAAAAGTCTTGCACAGTTGAGGCATTTGCCAAGAGATAAGAAACTTCAATCAAAATAGAGATGCTTTGACCTTAATCAACCTTAACTAAGCCTAGAAAGAACGGGGGAGTGACTTAATTTATCACACAGGAATGAGCAGAAAAAGTACTTGCCTGTAAATGGGAGCAACACGGCTCGTGAGTAGTGCGATCCATTATAAACACCTAAACTACGTCAGACGAAAAGACGAAAGGAAAAAGGTCCTAATTCGCTAAAACTCATCCAAATAATATGCAGGACTAACAATTAAGGACTGAAGGAAACCTAGTGGACTAAGAAACTTCCCCCATTAGGAACCTCGCAACTACGATGCCATCGCCAACTAGCCAAGAGAATAACAAAGCCAAAGCAGTAGACGATGCGGAAGTCGGGACATGAAAAGCTGAGAAAAGCTCTTTCTAGGGTTTCCGAAAAAGTGCAGAGCAAGAGAGCGAGGGGGAAGGTGAGGGGAGAACAGTGAATGAGAATCACGGGCGAATGCGGGCCGAGAAAATCGGTGCTACAGTAACGGGAACCACATGACTGGTACAGTATGAGAACTGTTGAAATAATAAGTAATACGTAGAACGGAAATGCTGAGAACAACATTTCTTTGTGGTACATGAAAAATGAGATTTGTTGAAGGCCGGATGTATATTTGAGAGCTGGTGCTTCTGAATCATGATCATCTGGAAAACGATGACCGAATTGACAAATACGCTATGGATGTGTATCCCATTCCCAAGTTTGAGGTTTTTTTCTGTGGCTGTGTTTGACGTGCCTCAAAAATGTTTTCGCCTGTCATAACCCCTAATGCACTCGCTGTTTTTGAGGTGCCTGGAGAATGAATTCCCCTGTATACCGTATAACCCCCTAGCGCACTTACTGTCCTGCTGCTTCATCTACTCAGCTAGGATGATACTTGTGTCATGCTGCTCTGTGTTAGGGATACTTTTTCAACCATAATGGCTATAAGGGGGAACAAGGTTAGGGATCAAGCTAGGTCGCGCATGTGCTCCTGTGCTGAGTGGCATGCCGCTCCATATGGTCAGCCAGAATGGACTGTGTTCGTCAAGTCTGCTAGGAACATGGTTTGGGAGAGATTGAGAGATGCAAAATGTGGAGCGTTACAATTTTATTAAATATGCAGAATCTAGAAAAGACCCTACCGGTCTACAACGCCAATCATGCGTGCAGTATCAGGCACTAGTACCAGGACCGTCCAGCACCTACAAACGCCTACCAGCACCTACCAGAACCTTGTAGATAAGGGTTTTAAGAACGTACCCATGGCAGCATCCGGTTGAATGGTGATTAGTGGCGAGCCTGGCTTGCATAGGTGACCGCCAACAGTAACGCCAGGGAGCTGAGTGCCTGAGGTGGAGTAATGATACGTTATGTGGTGTGATGGGATGTGATGTGACGTGACGTGATGTGAGAAATGTGATGTGGAGGACAATGAATGAAGAATCATGGTTCGTTGGGAAAATAAAGGGGAGGGGGGGGGAGGGGGGGGGGGGAGAGGGGGAAGAAAAAAAAGAAAGAGAGAAAAATACTGTGCTACAGCAAGTGCCAAATTGTAGCATTGAGACATGAGAGCAAAGGCCAGAGCACAGGTTTTCAGTGGTTTATAGTTCACCCTCGTAGGATGACCAGCGCAGCACAGAGCCACTAACAGGCGCAGGAGCAGCAGTGACATTCACACTCCACTGTGGAAAGAGATGGTCAGCCAGAGTCATGGGGCAAAAAAGCTGCTCTCACCTGCTCTCCCCCTTTGAGGTCGGCAATGTTCCTCCAGCACTGCTGCTGTGGTTGGCGCACAGAGAAACAAATTCCCTGGCTGAACGGGTCAAGCGAGTCAACGGGCGCCAGGTCAGCATCGCCACCTGGTGCCACGATCTTGTAGATCTCTTTGACCCGCGTCCTGATTGCATCAAGGCCTGCAGTGAACTCTGCCTGCCGGCGCCTTATCAGGGCCTTGTGCTCCTGCTTTACGGCATCCCTCTCTGGTGTCACCTCTGTTGCTTCAAAGAACGCCTCGAAAAAGGCGTCATCTTGTTTGTGGTACCTGAGCAAGTTCAGAACAGAAAAACAGGATTATTGATGATAAGTAGTGGGTTCTGCTTCAAGCCCTCTTGTTAAGTAGTTGTAACACAGCAGACTGCATCACTTTCAGTGCACTATATTCGTAAAAACAGGACCTATCAGCGTACACATCGAGATTCTCCCTCTCCTTTCATGCACACACATGCTTGCACAGTACAACCTCCTTACCCCCACACCTCACACTCATTCATCCACTCACACCCATACTTACCCCACCTGCATGCTTACACAGCAAACCGCTCTCACTTACTCGTCAATGCAGCTCATGTCAACCCTTTCCCAGAGCGCCTTGAGCTCTTCTCCCACGGACTCATATTTTGTCAGCATCTCATCGTGGCTGGCTCCTGCGCTCATGCAGTTACTGCACAGCCAGCACAGCAGCCTCCCCAGTTTCTGCATTGCTTCTTCGGATGCCTCTGCTGCAGGCTCCACTGCTTGGCATTGCGCCACAGCCTCACTCCCCTCTGCAGCCTCACTCCCCTGTACAGTTAAAGCACCCTCTGCAGCCTCAGACCCTTCTGCAGCCTCAGACCCTTCTGCAGCCTCAGACCCTTCTGCAGCCTCAGCCTCAGCCACTTGTTCAGAAAGAACTGCATCTCCACCTGCCGCCTCTAACCACTCGCCCAGAGCTTCGTTGAGAGTGTGAGGAAGGCCAGCCTCCTCCATATCCTCGTCTGACACGCGCTTTTCTTGCATGCTGCCAAAAAAAGGGGGAGAAAACACAACTCAAAAACACCTGTGATGGGCGAGGAAGGCCGGTCTTATCCGTACCCACACACGCTCGATTTGCTGTTGTGCATTGCTTAACATATGTCAGCTTTCAGGGTTTCTAAGGGAGCTCCTTTCGAGACTCAGGTGTAGCAGTGCATGAACGCTTGAGAGTAACGAGCAGAGGCCAGAAAACGAATGAGGACAGCTCAGAGTAGCGAGCAAAGTCAGAGAGCTGGCATTACAGACTCACTTTGAGATCTGGCATGAGAGTAGCTTCCCCAGGGACTTGAGCTCATTCCTCGCCAGGCGTGAATGGTCCACACCCATTTGTTGAATGCGACTGAACTCCTCCAGCTGTGAAAGTCCCTTCTTCTGTTTAGAGACAAGGGAAGGATGCAAAGGTGTGTGGGTGAAGAAAGAGGATGAGCAAAGTGGAACTCATAGTAAGGCATAAATTTATGGTTAGAGAAGGGATGATGTCATTTTCCAAATGGAATGGCAAGAGAGAAAGATAAGCTTAGTTCATGAGGCCAATTCCCCTTTTGCAAATTCTAAATGCATAACTCTATCAACCTTGCCCCCCCCCTGCATGCTTACACAGCAAACCGCTCACAAGAAATGTGCGTGGAGAATCACTTGACCACGGAAACAGAAAAATATTTGGGGAAGGTGCGTGAGGGCACACGGAATGTGAGTGTGTTTGTGTGTGCTTCCAGTGTGAATGGCAGGAAAGGAAGCAGAACCCAGTGCATGTATATGATTTATAATCGGCCCTGAACAAAATCAAGCACTTACCCAGATCCCTCTTCATGGCCCTCACCTGGAAAATCTTCCCTTTCCCCTTGCGCCTATATCACCTCCCCTGCGCCTATCTCATCTCCCCCACGCCCCACTCACCTCCCCTGCGCCCACCTCACCTGCCCTGCCCCATCTCACCGCTCGCAATAAGGCGTCCTCTGACTGGCTAAGAACTGCACCTATCTCCCTCCTCCTGTCAAGGCACTCGTCGCCCTTGCGCTTCATTAGCTGCCCGCACAGGTGGAACCAGGGGAGGGGGATGCAGGAGCAGGAGCAAGCAAGTGGTGACTTCAGAGTCATTTCCTTGCCTTGAGGAGCCACTCCTCCTGCCTGCACCGCACCGCCTGCTAATACAGGCGTAACCAGGGGAGGGGGATGCAGGCGGGGAGTTGGAAAAGGTGGTGACTTTTGCTTAACTCCCTCACTGTAGCAGCCCGCTGCCCTGCTTATGCAGGCATAAACGTAAGACGACATAGCAGGCAGGAAGAGTGGCAGGGATGGAAAAGTGGTAAGGACGAGGGAAAGGATAAGCGTGTGAGCTTGCATTGCATGGTAATATTTCAATGCGTCGTTTTCCCAAGGGCTCTGTCACGTAACTCTCAGAGCCGTCTACAAACCTTCCTCGACAAACGCACCTGTTTCAACCTTTTGCGCTTCTCATCCACTATATGCATCTGCAGAAGAAGATTTTTGTCCTCCGTGCTGCTTCCCTCCCTATCCATGCCTTTGCTACTCATGCCTCTGCTGCTCGTAACTTTACTGCTCGTGCCTCTGCTGCTCACACCCCGTATAGAGTGGCCCGGGCTCTTGTCTTGCTTGGGTTGTTTGTTCTCCTGCAGATGCAACGAGGACAGAAAATATAGTGGTGGACGTGTGAGTAAGTGTGAGTGAGCGTCTGGCATGTGGATATGTTATGGACAGGTCATTTCAGTACCACACAGCACATGTTCTACAGATTTATCAACTCATCTAAAACTCGTACTGGCGCATCTGCTCTTACCCGCAAGATGCGGAACATCCGGACCTTACCCGCAAGATGCGGAACATCCGGAACATCCTACTCAAACCTTTCATCCCCATTGTTCAGTCACCCACCCACCTTGCCTGTCTTGCGGGCAGGCAACTTCTTCGCCAGTGCGTTGTGCTCTGCATTGGCAGCCTTCAGCTCTGGAATGACCGCCTGTCAAGAAAGCTTGCAACATTAGGAGCACACACAAGGGGGAAATCTCAAGGCTAAGCTTGAAAAATCAGCCAACTTTCTGGGCCAACTTTCCACTCCCTTGTTACTCACTGACCCCAGACTCACTTTAAACTCCTGTGCGCATTTATCATACTCGAGTTCTTTGCACTTCAACTCTGCCGAAAGCATCGAAATGGTTTTCCTGCGTCCAACGGTGCTACAGTCAGCGGGCTCAGACACTCATGGTCGGATACGACCTCTCTTTCCAGTACCCAGACAGGACAAGTACCGAAGCCATGACATTTCCGCATAAGGAACATCTCAACTCGCATCCCACCAACCTTCTATCCCAAAACAACTCCCAGCCTCACCTGTCTGCCTCGATCGCCCTTTCAAGGTCTGCAGCCAGCCTGCTAGACCTTTTCATCGTGTGCTCACGCTCCTGCAGCTGCAAATAAATTGCCGCCATGTTCAGCTGGGTGTACTGCGCATCCTTCAGCAGAAAAGCTTCACCAACTTTTTTTTGCTCCTGTAGGCAACGGCATGCAAGCGATGGGGTTGGTTAAAGATGGAAGTGAGTGACGTGGATTTGGTTGATTGTACAGTGCCAGGAAAGGTAGTGTGCCTCTGTCATGCACAGCTGCGTTTGCTGTGCCACCTTCATTAGGCACACTTGCGGCTGCTCTCTTCTTCACTGCCTGTTGAAACGAAAGAGATGGCTTAAAGTGTTCATACGGAGTGGGAATGGGAGAGTGAGTGACACGAGGAACAAGAAGATCATTTGGGAGTGAACGAGATGGCCTTTGAAAAGTATGTAGGGACCACAAGAGCATGCTGCATCCCAGTACAAACGTTGTTCTACGGCGTGCAGAAAGGACTGGTCAGCAAAGTATGGAGCTTTGACCATCCCGGCGCTCTCTTTGCCTCCTGGAGCAGATGGAACTCAAGCCAGGTGCTTTAACCAGGTGCTCTGTGTTTCTTTCTCCTGCATTGCTGAATCTATGCTCTCGCAGAGTTCATTCACTATGAGCATCCTATAATGCTTGCTCTATCTATGCACTCACCTCCAGCTGGTCCTTTTCTCTCTCCGCTAATCGCATTATTTCCATGAAGCCCACCCTTCTTTCATTCAGATCTTCAAGCCTGCACACACCGGACAAGCAGAGAGGCAGGCAGACAAGGAGGCAAGCAGGCAAGGAGGCAGGCAAACAAGGATTATGGCAGACAAGCGGGCCAGATGAACGGATAGGCACAGCACAATCAAGCAAGCACCCAGCCTTGTAGTGAGATATCTTGCTCAACACTTGGACGACAGCACTCAGCAGTACGAGTCTATGTCAAGTGCTCTGAGAGACAGAGCAATGAGGAACACAGGGAGAACCTGCTGGTGACATGATTCTTGTTGTTGCAGACTAGTGGTACTTACTGTCGAAACACATCCAGCATGTTCAAACGAAGAGAATTCCGCACCATCTATGCGTTTATGAGAAAGCCTTACCGCTGGGCTTTCTCCTTGATCTGCTCGATGTACGTGTTCGTTCCAATCACCTTCTCAAGGTACTCCAACAATCCCTCCTCATGAGGCCGCAGTACCTTTGGTGTCATTGTTGCAACGCGCTCCAACTCCCCCTGCAATCCTCAACACTTGTTAGGAGCCAGTTGTAACTTACAACTTGAAATACCTGCTAATAATGGGTATCAGCCAATAAGACACACATCACACCTGAAGGACGTGGAAAGATCCATTGATGAGGTCGATCCCCTTGTTTTTCAGCAATATGATGATCTCTTCAAAGAAGCTGTCATCATTATCGACATCATGCTTGGTCGTGTCGTTGCGGTAGGTCTTATGCAGTATAACAATCTCTGATCCTGGCACTGTCTTGTTCGTATCCATTTCCTGAATCAACCAGTGACACAGCTTTTGCACGCGACGTTAGACATATGTACCACTTGTCTGGATGGAGCATGATGGCAGGAGATCGGCCCGTGAAAAGGCAGGATCAGACTTTTCAAGACGGCGGATTGAGTTTTATTTTTTGCAAGATCGGATTATCAGTTTCAGTTCCACACCGTGCCCCTCATTTCCCGTTTTTTTGCGTAACCATTTCGCCTTCTCCCCCATTGTCCCCCGCCCTCCCCGCCCTCCCCGCCTCCCTGGGTGCGCGCAGATCATCAAGGAGAAGGGGACGGGCCGCTCGCGCGGCTTCGGCTTCGTCACCTACCGCTCGCTGCGCGGCGCCATTCGCGCGTTGGAGGAGCCCTCCAAGCTCGTCGACGGACGAATGGTCGTCTGCCAGCTGGCGACGCTCGGCCCGGGTGGCGGCTCGGCGAGCGCTGACGTGGCGGCACGTAAGATCTTTGTCGGGAACGTCCACGTGGAGCTGTCGTCAGAGCAGCTGCTGTCGTTCTTCTCGCAGTACGGAGATATCGAGGAGGGGCCGATCGGATTCGATAAGAGCACCAGGAAAAGCCGCGGGTACGCGATCTTCGTTTTCAAGACCGCGGAAGGTGCGCAAAATGTCCTGCAGGAGCCGAATAAGATCATTCACGGGCATCAGGTGTTTTGCAAGCTCGCCGGGGAAAACAGAGGCAAGCAGCAGCAGCAGCAGCAACAGCCGGGGCTAATGATGCTACCAGGGGTGGCGGAGGCGGAGCAGCAGCAGGGGTATCCGCAGATGGTGTTTTATGGGGGAGACGCGCAAGCCGCCGCTTACGCCGCGTATGCGCAGCAAGCGCAAGCGCAGCAGTTCCAGGCGGTTCCGCAGCAGCAGCAGGTGTACCAGGTGGCGGACGTATACGCGCAGCAGGCTCAGGCTCAGGCCCAGGCGCAAGCGCAAGCGCAGGCGCAGGCACAGGCGCAGGCACAGGCGCAGGGACAAGTTGCGCTGCAAGCGCAGTACTACCAGCAAGCGCCCGCCGCCGCCGCGTACCAGCAGCAGGTAGCTGGTTACCAGCAGCAGGCCGCAGCTGGTTACCAACAACAGGCCGCGGCTGGTTACCAGCAGCCCGCAGGTGGTTACCAGCAGGTCGCAGCTGGTTACCAGCAGCAGCCTGTGTACGTAGCCCCTGCTGTTGCCACCCCAACCCTCGCAGCCACCCCCGCCGCCCCCCAAGCGGCTCACATGCAGCCTGCGCCTGCTGCGCCCTCCCCCCAGGGTTACCCCGCGCAAGCGGCGCCCGCGCAGGGCTACTATGCGCCCCAGGGGGCAGTGCCCGCGCAGGGCGGATACGTGCAAGCGGGGGTTGCGCCGCAAGGAGGGGTTTATTACCCGTTGCAGGCACAGGCACAGGCGCAGGGGCAGGCGCTGGGGCAGGTTCAGGGACAGATGCAGGCTCAGCAGGGGCAGCAGCAGGGCGGGAAAGCCGGCGTTGGGGAAGCTTCCTCCCAGCCTGGCCCAGCGGCAGCAGGAGGGGCTGTGGGGCGACCTGGTTACCAGGTAACACCGCAGCTGCAGGCTCAGCAGCAGCAACAGCAGCAACAGCAGCAGCAGCAGCAGCAGCAGCAGCAAGGGGCAGGGCAGCAGCCGCAAGGGGTGGTGTATGCAGGATACTATGGCGCACAGTAGCTGCAGCTGTGCATGACACCCTGTTAGAGACTGTGGGCTGTTCTCAAAAGTCGTCTGTTACAATGCTGCTCGGTCTGCTCGGTGCTGCTCGGTAGGTATGCTCTGTTGAGTTGGAGGCTGCTTCTGAGGCCTCAAAAGGGGCTGGCTCTGGCTCACAATGAATTTGTTGAAGGCTGGTGGGAGCGACTGCAGCATCTGGGAGGGGTGATTGATGGTGGTTGTCGGTGTTGCATGTGTCTACGCCCGCCCGTGTGCTTCTCTCTGTCATTTGCTGCTTCCATCTGCCACTGCCGCGTCCATGGAGGTTTGTGTTGGACCGCCACACGTTTTCAGCCTTCCCTGAGCTCTTCCTCTCATTCCTACCTCAGCTCCTCTCTCTCACCACGAACCATCTCGCTGCCATACAGACTCTGTTTCACCTTGCTTTCTCCAGTCTGCCTCTGCTCCTAGCCTCTACCAGGCTCCTCTCTCTCTGTTTCGATTCCACTACCTTGCTGGCTCCTGGCACACTCAGTTTCTTCGGCTCCAATTTACTCTCTCCTTGTTATCGCTCTCTCACCTCTCACCTGCATCATTTCATCGCGTCCGGTAACTGATTCTGCCTCTCAGTTTGTTCCGGCTCAGTACGCTCCGCACCTCTTACCGCACATCTTTTCATCGCTCCTGAGTCTGCCTCTCAGTTTCTTGCGGCTTTTCTCCGCACCTCTTACCTGCGTTCTGTCATCGCTTCCGTCGCTGACTCTCTGCAGTGGATTGTTCCACTATTCCACAATCCTCTTCTTTTCTGACGCGGGTGCTATCCCACAGTCCCTCTCTTACTCATTCCACCGGTAGCCTCATCATGACTCTCTCTCCAGTGGGGCCTGCTTCTGTGTCCTGTCTGTTGAACCCTAGCCTGGTGCTAGGCATGTTTCACCTCTTCTCTGATTGACTGATTAGCCACGTTTAATAGTTCTTTTCCCTTTTCAACGTGTCTTTTTTTCTACTGGTTTACTTGGAAATTGGTCGTGGTAAACCCCTTTGGGTTTCACTGAATCGTTGAGGGCTCCATAACGTTTTAGTATTGCCATTTTGCTCATGTTGCAGTCTTTTTGTGCTCGTACCTATAGTCTACGTCTACCTCTTCATTCCCACTCCTTGATTTTACCTATTCAAGGTGTATGTTGATCCCATGATTTTGCGCTTGTTGGGTCATTTTCCTCCAGAAGTTTTTAGAGTTGTTTTTGGGCAGATTGCCATTACTGCTGTCCCGTGCAGTGTGAAAATTAAGATATGAAAGCATAGCAGGAAAGTTTCTCAGGAATTACACCAGCAAACCGCATGCTGTTTACTTTACACTCATTGTGCAGATTGCATACTGAAATTGCTTGCGCATGATTTTTAGCTAAATTGTTGACACAATGAACGGCTTAGAAAATGAAATGTGGAGGTAAACAAACTGCAGCACGCTGTATTACTAAACCGCACTGATTCGTGCACAACCCCGCGTGATACTTCTTGTTCTTACGTGAGAATGCTTGTGTCAAAGGACTCATGCTGCGGTGGATGTGTTCCGGATTCACAGATCACGGCTTTGTGGTTTTTGTTACGGTTCAAAGCGGTAACCTGGAAGATTTGAGGTTGGATTTTGACATCGGTGTTCCCGCGGAATTTTACAACGGTCATATTTCTTCTCTCTCCCACCCCAACGCAGCCATGACATTTGTTGTTGCTTGACTCGCTCATCAGCAGCACGGAATTTCATGGTTCTGACAGAAAGAAGTCCAGCATTGAATTTGAATCAGTCAGAGCCATTCACTGTTGCTGTCACGGCTGCAAAATACGTCTGCTTGTGCATTGGAACGTTTCAGTAGCTACTATACCGACACTAATTTCTCTCGGGAACGTTCGTGAACCACCTGAACGAGCACTCATACCACTGTATCCTCCAGCCAAGCAGGCTGACAGCGTCAGATATTTGCGTCAGTGATGGAAATGGCAAACAAAAAAGAGATAGACGCGACGCTCTTCATGCTCGAACTGCATGTAAAGGTTCGTGCTGTGCGAGTAACATTTTTTTTGTTTTTCGAGTTTTATTGTGCAGCGATGGTTTGAATCTGGATTTTTCAGCTATGTAACGACAATCATCAGCATTTTCGCCGATCGTAATCACCGGCAATGTGTATCTGGTCATGCAGCGACCAATATCTATTAAGCAATGAGGGCCTTTATCAAAACCGATGTCATAAAGATCAGCAATGTCTAAAATGGCTAGTACTATCAACACCGAGTATCATGATCACGCAGCAATGTGAGCATGATGCTCAGCGATGTTTATGATAAATATTGCCAACTTCTATCAAGAGCATCAGCTGTACTAACCCGGATCATCAACAATGTCTTGGATGGTCCTCACGCTGCAGCAATTCTGCTCTCAAACCTCATTCCCGTGCTCTCAGATTTTGTATGTCCCGTTAATGATTCGCTGATGTTGGATTCGCTTTTTGGTCCCTCGTTCTGTGACAGGGACCCTCGCAGCTACAGCAGAACAAAGTCACTGACCTCATCCGCATCTCCACTGACCGGCGTGATGATTTTGAATCTGTTGAAGTGTCTCTGCATTTTGAGAAGATTGTTGATCTGGTGCGTGCACTTCATCTACATTTGTTATCCTGCATCCAGAACAAGTGGTGCCGACATAGAGATGTCTAACGTGGTATGTGAGTGTTGTCATTGGTGGACTCAGGAAGTGGACACGAGCAAGGCAGTGCCAGGATCAAAGTCTGGTATCTTGAGTACGAACTTATGCAACGACACAACCAAGCATGACGTCGATAATCATGACAGCTTACGTAAAGTGATCACCACACCTATTAAGAATAAGGGGGTCGACCTCAGCAAGGACCATTTTCACGTCCTTCAGGTGCAGTGTTTCTGTGCTTCGAGCGGTTGTTGCATTGACATTGTTTCCGTTTCTGTCTTATTGGCTGATAGCAATCATTTGCACTTATTACAAGTTGTAAGTTACAGAAGTTACAACTGACTCCCATAAGTGTTAACGTTTGCAGGGCGAGTTGGAGCGGGTTGCGATGATGAAAGCAAAGGCACAGTGGTCTCACGAGGAGGGTTTGTTGGAGTATCTTGAGAAGGTGTTTGGAACGAACAAGTACATTGAGCAGATCAAGGAAAAATCCCGAAGGTATTATATCCTCACATGATCATGCTGGTTATGTTTCTAGAGTGAGTACTACCACTAGGCTGCAAATATGAACCACCCTGACGGAATTATATCAGCAGCAAATTCTCCTGGTGGCTGAATGCTTGCGTTCCTTTGTGCTCCACCTCTCAGAGCACCTGAATCAGATTCGTACAGCTTAGTCTTGACTTCCAAGCGATGGATTTAAACAAGCCAGCTTAACACAAGGCTGTGTGCTTCATTGTGCTATGCCTATCCGCTCAACTGACCATCCACGCTTTTGTTGGCCTACTTGTATGCCTTAATTCTTGTTTGCTTGCCTCCTTGTTTGCTTGTCCTCTCGTTTGCTTCCCCCCTTGTATGCCTGCCTCTCGTCTGCGTGCCTCCTTGTCTGCTTGCCTCCTTCTCTGCTTGCCTCTTGCTGCCTGTATGCAGGCTGGAGGATCTGAATACGAAAAGGGTGGGCTTCATGGAACGAATGCAGTTAGCGGAGACAGAAAAGGAACAATTGGAGGTGAGTGCAGTATACAGCAAGCATAATAGGAGAAGCATAGACACTATGTGAGAAACATGAAAATTATGCATGAGAAAGAAACACAGACCATGCACTATAGGAGAAACATGAAAGGGATGTAACAGATGTCTCAACGCCCTCCTGTCACCGATTCCCTCAACCCCAACTTGCACACATTTCCCTCCCCAATCATATTCTTTCTGAACTAGGGCGAACGCAGTGAGAATGACATGGACACGTGATCCTTCCTGTCACCCACTCCCACTTCCTCAACCAACCCCATTGTTTGCATGCCCAGGAGCAAAAGAAAGCGGCTGAGATTTTTCTGCTGAAGGAGGCGCAGCTCACGCAGCTGAACATGGCGGCGGTGTATCTGCTGCTGCGGGAAATCGAGCACATGAGGAAAGGGTTCATCACTCAGACCACAGACCTTGGAAGGGTGATTGAGGAAGACAGGTGAGACAGGGGGAGCTGGTGTGCGGTAGAGGATTGGTGGGAAGCGGGTGAGATGTACTTGTTGCTGCAGGAGGGTGTCCACTGTCGAGCAAGGAGCGGCAGGCAGGTGACTTTGAAATAGAGATTCACTGAGAAGTGTCAAACCTTTTATGCATGCTCTATCTTCATCCAGTGCATGGTGAATTGTTTGAAGTAATGGACAGAGGCTACAGCAGACCATGAGACGCAAGGAGGGTCTCGATCAAACGTTGAGAGTCCGAGCCCACTGACTGTAGCACCATCGGATGCAGGAGAATGTTGCTTGTGCTTACAGAAGAGTTGACGTGCAAAGCAGTTGCATCTGACAAATGCTCAGAGGAGCTCATTGTGAGTCTGGAGGGCAGTGGCTTAGAAAGAAAAGAAGTGGGCAATCGGCCCAGAAAGAGATATTTTGGATCAGTCTTTCTTCTCCTCAGTTTGTCTGGCTTCGCCTTTGGATTTCCCCTTGTCTGTGTTCCTAACGTTGCAAGCTTTCTTATTAGGCCCTCTCCAAAGAGCTCCTGGCTGCTGTTGCAGAGAAGAACGCACTGGCGGCGAAGATGACTGCCTGCAAGACAGGCAAGGTGGGTGACTGAACTATGCGGATGGAAGGTAGACGTGTGGGATGGGACGGTGTGGATGTGATTGCATCAGGCAAGTAAAGCCAGATGCGTGAGGATGATTTTTCACGTGTGAGGCTCAGTTGGTAATATGAGATATTTTTTGGTAGTGAGAAGACTTGTTTTTGGCATATTCACGCACAATCCGATCACACACCACCTACTCACACAACGGCCACTACTGTTTCCTACCTTTTTGTGTGTGCAGGAGAATATAAAGCCCAAGAAGAACAAGATCCTGAGCAACCTAAGAGAAGGCACGAGTAGCAGAGGCAAGGATAGGAAGCAAAGCATCAAGGAGGAAAAGAAACTGTCTTTGCAGATGTTTATAGTGAACGAAAACTGTAAAAGATTGAAAAAGGTATGTTATGGGGTGAAAGGGGGAAGGTCACACACGGCTGGAAGTTGGCTTATAGCACTCAGCAGTAGCTCCTGTTGAGCTGAGAGTGAAAGAAAAGAGACCTTGGGATGTGTTTGCAAGGTCACCATGCATGCTCACACCTTGTGCCTTTCCCTTTTCCCCATAATTTTCTCCGTTCCAACTGCCTCTTTCCGTGTCTGCTATGTCGTCTCGTGTTTCTCCCTGCACAAGCAGGGCAATGGGTTGCTCACAGAGAGGGAACTGACTTGCATTTTATTTCTTTTTCCAACTCCCCGCATCCCCTTCCCCTGCTTGCTTCTCTTCTGAAAGCTAATGGACCGCAAGAAGGAAGAGAGTCATGACAGGACTAGGGAGTTGGATGCAGTTCAGAGCCAGTTTGAGAAAAACGACTCTGGAGTGGTGAGATGGGGCACGGAAAGTGAGATGAGTGCAGGGGAGGTGAGATGGGCGCAGGGGGAGTGAGATATCTAGAAGAGGAGAAGGCGCACTTGAGGCCATTAAGAGGGAGTTGGGTAAGCTATTGAATTTGTGCAGAGCCGAATGTGCAGGTAAGCTATTGGATTTAGTCATCTTCATCCATTGGGCTCTGCTTCCTTTCCTCCCATACCATTCACATTGTAAGTACAACCTCCCATTCTGTGTGTTTTAATTCGCCTGCGCGTTCTTTCCTGTTTCAATGGTCAAATGGATGCTCATCGCACATTCTTTGTTATGGGAAGGATGAGGAAGAGGACTGGCCGATCGTATTAAGCATTTCAAACTGTACAATATGGGAAATGGCATTATGCACTTGGCTCGCCTTTCTTTCTTGCCATTACTGGAAGCGACAATATCCCCACCTTTCCTTATGTATGCCTCAATCTGAGTTCTTTTTTCATCCTCTTTCTTCATCCACCCACTCTCCTGCTCTTTCCTTAACGCCGCACTATCAGAAAAAGGCAGTTTTGCAGCTTGAGGAGTTCAAGCATCGCCAGCAAGCAGGTGCAGGCCACTCAAGCAGAGCAAGGAATGCGCTTAAGCGTTGCGTGGTGCAACTGGCATGTCAGATCTCACAGTGAGTCCGTAATGCCCAACTCTTTGCCCGCTGCTCGCTACTCTGAGTATTGCTCATATTTCTCTGCCTTCCTTTCGCAAATTTTGAGTGTTTAGACACTGCCGTACCCGAGTGTCGAAAAGAGCTATTCTCATAAACTTCAAAAGCTGACATATCTCAAGCAGTGTGTTGGACACGTCATTGAGTGAGGATATGGACAAGGCAGGCCTTCCTCTCCTTTCACAGGTGTTTCGAGGTGTGCACCTCCTTCCCTTCTCCTCTCACCACCCACCCACCCCCCCTTTCCCCCCCCCCCACCCTCCCCTCCACCCTTTTGTTGCAGCATGCAAGATCAGCGCGTGTCAGACGAGGACATTCAAGAGGCAGGCCTTCCTCACACTTTCACCACTGAATCTCTTGGCGAGTGGTTAGAGGCAGCAGGTTGGGAGTCAGCTTTTGTTGAAGTGGCCGAGGCTGAGGCTGAGGCTGAGGCTGAGGCTGAGGCTGAGGCTGAGGCTGCAAAGGAGAGCGAGACAGCAGTCGGGCCTGTGGCTGCAAAGGGGAGTGCGACCGTGGCACAATGCCCAGTAGCCGAGGCTGTAGCAGAGGTACCCGAAGAAGAGATGCAAAGACTGGAAAGGCTGATAACCTGGCTGTGCGGTAACCGCATGATTGCAGGAGCCACCGACGATGAGGTGCAGTTAAAGCAGGAATCCTCGGAAGAAGAGCTCAAGGCGCTCCGGGGAAGTGTCGACATGGGCTGCATTGACGAGTGAGTAAGAGTGTCTTGCTGTGTCAGTTTGCTACTGGGAGAAGCGTGGGTGAGAGTGAATGACTTAGTGTGAGGGTGAGTTTATCAACTCTGATCCGATTTCCTGCTTTGCACTTGCTCAGGTACAACAAGAAAGAGGACGCTTATTTCGAGAGGTTCTTGGAAGCGGCAAATGTGACGCTGGAGAGGAACGCTGTGAAGCAGGAGCACGAGGAGCTGATAAGTCGCCGACAGGAAGAGTTCACAGCAGGGCTTAATGCCATCAGGATGCGGGTGAAGGAGATCTACAAGACCTTGGCGCCAAGTGGCGACGCTGACCTGGCACCCGTTGACCCGCTTGACCCGTTCAGCCAGGGAGTTCTCTTTTCTGTGCGCCCGCCACAGCAGCAGTGCTGGAGGGGCGTTGCTGACCTTGTTGGGGGAGAGCAGGTGAGAGCATCTTATTCGCCCCATGGCTCTGCCAGACCATCTCAATCCCATGCTTTGGCCTTTGATGTCACTGTCTAAATCCTACAATTCTGTTCGTGCTGTAGCACAGCTTTTTTTTCTGTCCTCAATTCCCCCAACTGTCCATCATGCCTCATCCCTGGGAAAAGCTCTGGAGACATTGTGTATGAAAATGCATCACATTGCCCAACCCTTTCCCCATCACATTTCTCACATCACACCACATCGCAACCCATCACATCCCATCAAATGGTTTCGCTTCACACCATGCCACATCACGTCACATCACTCCATCACAGGCACTCAGCTCCCTGGCATTGGTCTTGGCGGTCCACCTATGCAAGCCAGACTCGCCCTTCATCACCATTGAACCTGATGTTGCCATCAGTACGTTCTGGAACCTTTATCTACAAGGTTCTGGTGGGTGCTGGTAGGCGTTTGTAGGTGCTGGACGGTCCTGGTACTAGTGCCTGTTACTGCATGCATGATTGGCATTGTAGACCGGCAGGATTCTTTCTAGATTTCGCGTATCTACCATAATAATGTTGTAACGCTCCATGTTTCGCATCTCAATCTCTTCCAAAACCCTGTTCCTAGCAGACTTGAAGAGCACAGTCCATTCTGGCTGACTACCGTATATGGAGCGGCATGCCACTCAGCACAAGAGCACAGATGCAACCTAGCCTGATCCCTAACCCTGTTTCCCCTTATAGCTTAACATTTCTGGTTGAATAAGACACAGAGCAGCATGACACAAGCATCATCCTGACCGAGTAGATGTAGCAGCAGTACAGCAAGTGCACTAGGGGGTTATATATGTTAGAATCACTAGTAGCTAGGTGAGGAATGATGATTAGGTGAGGGAGAGGGGGTACAAGAGTGTCGAGAGAGTTGGGTTGTACCCTCTAAGGTGTGACCCTACACAACCTAGAGTAAGAACATAACAATATGTTTTGACAATATACAGGGGAATCTGCTAGCACTGGCACCGAGTGCACTTTGGGGTTTGTCCTTGCTGGAACTTGAACGCTTGTTGGCATTCATTGACCATGTGGCGTATAACAGTGGGATGACGCAATAAGCTGGGAAAATTGCAAGGCCAGCTGCGTTGATAAATGCAAACGCGTGCAAGATGGTGACACTGTCTGGCAGGAACACAAGTGAGCAAACCAATACGTATGACCCAACAAAATGCATAACCATGGTACAAACAATCACCTCAGATAGAAAAGGCATGGAGTGGGAACGGAGAGGTAGACTGCTACCAAAACA